GCCCAAGCCCAACACAAAGTTCAGTCTTCCCTGATGGTTAGGATGAAGAAGGCTGCAGGAGGGAAGGCCTGGTCTGGGAGGCAGAGGTCTTGGTTACTACCTGGCTACGTGTGAGCTTTGAGGAGCTGGACCCCTTTCTAGATAGCCATCACTACAAGGAAGACCACAAAAAGCTGAAAGGAAAGGGGTGCAAGCTTATAGAAGGCCAGCCATCCTGCTCTTCCATAGTTGTAATGCTGCAAGGAGGTCTCCCTCCCTGCAACCCTCCTCTACACACAACAGTCTCAGGTCAGCCTGCAGCCATGGATAGGTAAGGGAAAAAACTGGAGGACGGGAGCCAGCTTGGATCTGTGCTCGGGTCTGCCTTGGAGCCCTAGGCCAAGATTGCCATGAAGCGAATGGAAAAGTGGGAGAAGCTGTGCATTAGTTTCTTCTCCTTGGATGGATACTGTATGTACATGAGGCCATGGTGTGTTCAAGGGATGTTTAGGAGGGCATGTACCAGGAAAAGAAAAGAAAGTGTGAGTACAAGCTGGGTGTCAGTGGGTCACACCTGTAATCCCAGCTACTCAGGAGGCTGAGATCTGAGGATCATAGTTCAAAGCCAGCCGGGGCAGGAAAATCCATGAGACTATTAACTCCAATTTAACCACCAGTAAATCAGAAGTGGCACTGTGGCTCAAAGTGTTAGAACACTAGTCTTGAGCAAAAGAGCTCAGGGATAGTGCCCAGGCCCTGAGTTCAAGCCCCATAACAACAACAACAAAAAATACCAAAAAAACAAAAAACAAAAAAAGTAAGTTCATGGGTGCTGGGGATGAATGACACTAGGATGCTGCTCTAGGGGCCTGGGGTTGGAGTACCAGCTGTGGCTGAATTTGACCTTCAGCCCTGACAGTCTCAGAACAGTTTTAAGTCAGACTCAGTTTCCTTATCTGTAAGACAGAGAGGAGGCTGGGGAGGCTGCTGCAGAACGTGAGAGCGGCTAAGAGCACTAGCATGGTGCCTGGCACACAGCTGCATGCAGTCAGGAATTCCAAATCAAACTCTCAGGGCCACGCTGGGTGGCCACAAGGAGCAAAGAGAATGATCCTGGACAGTCAGAAGTCTTGCAGTCTGGTCCTTTCCACGTGCACCAATTTACCACGTGACTTTGGTCTCCAGGGCCTTAGTTTTCTCCAAATGGAACTGTCAAATGGTGAGGACCAACCAAGTGGAGACCCCTGAACATTCCAGGTTCCTTTTGCCTGAATGATTTCCAACCCAGTTGGTCATCAGGGTAGGAGGCTCCAGGAGAGGGGTCTGGGATTAGGAGTCTGAAGGCCCCAGGAATGGCTGCCACCTCCTCTCCTCCTCATTCCCACAGCTTCTGACCCCAGGGACAAGGCTGAGAGAGGATGTTTACAGAGTCTTAAACCTTCACATAGAGAAAGTCTGCTGGGCAGTGAGGGGGGTGGGGGGCTGGGAGCAGCAGGCAAGCCATATCACAGTGGTTTGGGAAGCAGAGAGAGCCAAAGGGCTTCACTCTGTACTACCCCCTTCCAGCCCTGGGCCTCCAGGGAGGCTAGTGTGGCCTTCGAGAAGGAGCAACATGGGGGTGAGCCTTCCCTGAAAGGACTCAGGAAGCAGAATGGGTAGTGATGGGTACTTAGCACAACTCAGAGAGGCAGGATCTGGAAAGGGTTGAAGGATGCCAAACACCAGGGCCTGGGGCACAGAGGTGGGGGTGGGGTAGGGTGGAAAAGGACTTGGAAGGAGGACCAAGGGCCTAAAGAGGCAGGAAGAGATCGAGAGGCCCCTTGATCTACAGTTCAAAAGGAGAAGACAGGAGTTGGCACTACTCATTTCCTGGAGGCGCAGCTGCTGGCAGGAGAGGATGACTTGGGGATTATCTCTGCCCACTCCCCCCCCCCCCACTTCCCCCCCTCCCGCAGCCCTAGGTGCCTGGAAAAGATGCAGATTCTGTGAAGGGCCCATAGGTACAACTGACAGGTGTGAGAGAAGTGTCCCACCACTCTCCTAAATTTTCTCTTAAAGATCCTTCTTTAGGGGCCCTCCTGGCACAAGCTACATCTCTGGGAAGGGGGTCCTAACACTGGATGTCCCTCATTTGATTTGCCTTTGAGGGAGATGTATGGAGCTCAAGAAGCACTTCTTGCAGCTGCAGTGAATGGCTGAGAAGCCCCACATCTGGAGCTCCTCAAGAACAGGTCCAGGGCTGGGAAGGTGCTCAGTGGTAGAGTGCTTGCCTAGCATGCATGAGGCCCTGGGTTCCATTCCTCAGCACCACATAAGCAGAAAAAGTCAGAAGTGGTTCTGTGGCTCAAGTGGTAGAGTGCTAGCTGTGAGATGAAGAGCTGAGAGACAGTGCCCAGCCCCAGAGTTCAGGTCCCACGACTGACAAAAAAAGAAAGAAAGAAAGAAAAGAATAGGTACAGGGGCTGGGAAGGTGGCTCAGTGGTAGAGCGCTTGCCTTGCATGCCTGAGGCCCTGGGTTTGATTCCTCAGCACCACATAAGCAAAAAGAAAAAAGCCGGAAGTGGCGCTGTGGCTCAAGTGGTAGAGTGCTAGCCTTGAGCTGAAGAGCTGGGGGACAGTGCCCAGGCCCAGAGTTCAGGTCCCATGACCAGACCCCCCCCCAAAAAAAAGAACAGGTACAACAACAGCTCCAATAATAAGATCCATCCCCCTTGGTCTGAGCCAGCTCACAATGGAGGCCTGCCCACTTTGGCCACCTATAGATGCAAGGCTCAGAGAGGCCCAGCTAGCAACACATGATCACAGAGCACTCAATTGGTGGGGCTCTTAGCTCCTTGGCCCCCTTGACCTCTGAGATGGATGAGCAGTTTCCTGAGATTCCCAAATATCTGGACATTTTCACACCATATTTCCTCCCATAAAGCTCTAAGAGATACTTTAGCCCTGGGTTCCTGCTGACAAGTGGTCAGGACAACCGTGCCCCTGGCCAGGGCATTCCTGGCATCCGGAGAGAGCAGGATGTGGGGCAAAGGTGTCAGCAGATTTAGCTCCTAGAGAGGAAGAAGAGGCCATCCCCTAGAAGGTGGCAACGGGAGCTAGTTGGGGTTAGGAATTGGGTCCTTCACCTCCAGTTAACTGTTAAGGGACTAGGAGACCAGATCTGGGGACTAAGGAAGCCAGCTGGATTGACTTCTCTTCCCTGGACCCAGACATGCCTTGGGGGGAAAAAAATCACCTCCAAGCTCATGGAGGGCACAGGTATGCCCTGTCAAAGTCTCAGCCTCCATGGACAGCAGGGGGGCTGCCATGTAATCATTCTTTTTCTTTGTTTGGCAGAGTGCTGGGTCTGGAACCCAAGGCCTCAAGCACACAAAGCAAGTGCTGGGCCTCCAGCCCTCTTACAGCCATTCTCATTGAGCAGCCCTTGCCTCTCCCTTAGACCCCTAACACTGAATTTCACTATTCAGATGGTCATCTCAGGCCTCCAAGGGGCTCTGGTAGATGGACTACTGCTCACTGTTGACCTGGACCCAAAGCCAGACTTCATATCCTGTACATGTCCAAGTCTGCTGGCTGTCTGAACAAAGTCAAGGCTGCCACCCCTAGGCACTCAATGGCCAAGAGAGTTCTCTTTCTTTGCCCTTCCAGGTACTATCTTTCTCCCTTCACCTCTGAAGTTCTATGAGCCTGGTTGGGGGTAGAGGCAAATAAGCAGGCAACAGAAAGAGAAACAGCTAGACTAAAAGCAGGTGGCAAAAGACAGGTAGAAGACTAGCCATTAGATGGACAGGTGGATAGACAGATGGACACAGAGACACACAGCTTACCAGCCCAGCCCATGAAAGAATGAAACAGGCCGGTAGAAAGAACAGTTAGGTGCACATGGACAGGCTAACTCATGTACAGGTGGAAACGCAGCCTGGCAGAGGGTCAGCCAGTCAGAGCTGGGGGACAGTCAGGTGGACAGTCAAGGTGGTCTCCCAGGGAGCCTAATATCAGAGGACCCCACTCTGATGGTGACAAGAAGGGAGTAGTAGTCACGCATTGTGTCTCTAAGGCATCTCCCAGTGTCCCAGCACCAGGCCCAGCCTTTTAACTGATATCGACGGGGCCTCTCATGTTCCTGGCCTGGCCAGGCTGTCCCTCAAGACTGAGCTCTTAGCTGCCAAAATTCGCTCTTTACATCCAAGAGGGGTCAGTGTTTTTGAAAGTTGTAGAAGCCTGGTGAGGGAAAGGAGGGGCTGGCAGTGTCAATGTTTCCAGACATACCCCTCTCCTCTTTCTTTTTCCCCATGTCCAGAGCCAGGCCTAGTATAGCCAGCCAGCAAAGACAGGCAAACTGGGTCCTGCCTGCAGGGCAGAGCTGGGCAACACAGGCAAGGCAGCCCACTGCTTCTGCTTGCCGAAAAGTTGGAGGTAAAAAGGCAAGGCTAATAAAGACACTTGTAAATTTGGAAACAGCACACTGTCCCTAAACAGGACTCCTAAACATCTCCAACCAGAAGAGAGTCGTGAGCTGGGGTTTAGCGTGTCTCTGGATAGGGGCAACTCTCAGGGGAGTCCAGGCAGGATTCCATCCTAGCTACAGAGCTGGGAAGACGGTGGCAGAGAGTGTGAGGCCCAAAAGATCATCTTTGGGTCTGGGGCCCAGGGAGACAGTCGGGAAGAGGAAAAGGGAGCCGCACGCGGTGGCCGCAGACTTTGCCAAGTGGAGGGAACAAGTACCTGGGAGAGAGGCGCAGGGGCTGGGGACGCGGAGGGAGCTAGGTAGAAGCGGTGAAGGAGGAGGTCAGAGCAAAGGGAGTGGGGTCAGGACCGGGAGGCCAGGCGCTAGGGTCGGGAAGGGGATGATACCTGAGGCCCGATCAGGAGGGCGGTGAGGGTCGGCCGCGGGGCTGGGGGGGGGGGTGCGTGGGGTCGGGGACGGGGGTGGAGTCGGGGCGGGGCGGCGATCCCCCGGGGGCCGGTAGGCGCTGGGGCCGCCAGGAGGCGCCCGGAGGGGCGCGGGGTCGCGAACTCACATGAAGACGTGGTAGACGAAGGCCCAGCCGCGGGGCCGCTCCAGCACGTTGTAGACCCAGTTCTGCAGGCGGCGGTAGCGCTTGTGCGCCGTGGACGAGCGCTGGCCGCAGGCGGAGCCCGAGCCGGAGCCCGGCCCAGGGAGGGGCGCGCCCGGCGGCAGGGGGCTGCCCAGGAGGCCGTGGCGGCGCGGGGAGCCGCCCCCGCCCGCCTCGCCCTGCTCGCTCTGCACGGCCGTGAGCGCCACCAGCTCGGCGCGAGGGGCGTCCCCGGGCGGGGGGCCCAAGCCGAGGCGGCGCGGGGGGGCCTCGGCCATGGGCGGCGCCGGTGGGAGGGGGGGCGAAGCCGCTCGGATCCGGGGCGGGGGCGCGCTCGGGGCGCTCAGCGGCACATGGCTCGGACCCGGGATCGGTGGGGGCGATCCGGGGCGCTCGTGGGCAGCGGGGGCTAGGGGCCGGGCTGGGGCCGCGCCGGGGCCGGGGGCGGGCGCTCGGAGCCTTGGAACGGCCGGAGCCCGTACTGACCGCCCGCTTCCCCGGCGACTGGGGCGGCTCTTTCCGACTCCAACTCTCTTATTACGCGCTCCATGCCGCTCGCCTTTCCACCTGCCGCCGGCGCGCCGCTCACATGTCACCCTCCCCCGCCCCGCCCCTCCCCCGCCCGCCCCCGCCCGCCCCGCGGCCGCCTTCCCAAATCGGGAGGGAGCGAGCGAGCGAGCGAGCGGAGGGAGGGGACGCGCGCCGGGGCGGCGGAGCTGGGAGCGCCCGGGCCGGACCGCGTGGCAGGGACAGCGCGTGGGACCGCGAGGCTGGGCGTGTGCAAGCGGTGTGCACGACTGCGGGAGGGGGCGCCCCGTGGCCTTGAACGTCGGCCTCAGGGGTGGGACCGCGTGTCGTGGGTGGTGGTGGCCGCCACCGTGCACGGGACACGGTGTCCGGTGGGGTTCAGGTGTGCGTGGTGCACGAGTGGCTACTGCGTGTGCAGCGCCGGCGTGGGTGGGGATGGCGCGCGCGCGCGTGGGAAGCCAGGTGTGAGAAGTCGGGGCTGCGCTGCGGGCTGGTGGTGGCCGTCAGGAGGCGTCCCCGTCCGCTCGAGCCTCCAGTGCAACGTGTACCGCGGGTGTGTCGAGTGCGCCCCAGGCGGAGCGAGCGGTCCGGGAAGCAGCCGCGGCGGTGCCGTTAGGCACCTGCCGGCTTTGGTGCCCCAGGACCGGCCGGATGCATCCGTGTGCGAGGAGCACCGGGCCCCAGGTGTGTCTGCTTCCTCCCATCCCTTCCCTTCTGGGTAGTGGGCGGGGCCCGGCTGGCAACTCTGCCCTCAAGAAGAGCTTTCCCCACAGCCCACCCCGTGGGAAACCCTCCCTGCCCAGTCCGGGAACCAGGCTGAGGTCAGATGGGGTGTTGGGACAGAGACGCTGGCCCAGCATTCAGGGAGTCCCCAACAACCCCGACCCAAAGACCCACAGCCTCTCGCCCAGAAAGCAGAGACGTTCTCCTCCTTCCCCGCCCAGCTGGAAGTTCTGAGTTGTCTGACCTCTGTCTCCAGAGCTCTCCCAGCCCGGCTCGGGGTGACAGTTGGGATTTCTTGTTGCTCCGTCCCTCTTCCCCTGCCTAAAGCTGTGGCCACCCCAGCCTCGGCCCCGCCGCCGCCCCCAGCCCCCCGCCCCGCAGGCCCTGCCCCAGGGCGAAGCGCTTCCGCAGCAAACTCTTCGCTGTTCCTTCGGGAGGATCTCGGGGGACGCAGCGGGGAGCGAGCGGGAGGGCGGGCGGGAGGGGCGGCGGAGGGGGTGGGAAGGCGAGCTCGATACTCAGCTGTCAGCAAAGGCAGCATTGATCTGCTGAGTGCCCGTGGGGGAGGATGGGAGGAGGGCTGTGGGCGGAGTGGGAGGGGCTGCAGGCACCTGAGAGAGGGCCCCCAAGCTCAAGGGGCAGCCGGCTCACCCCAACCCGCTAGGGACGTTTTCCTCTCTGCGCAGCTGGGGTGCCTTGTGAGGTCTGACCTGAATCTCTCCTATTGCTCCTTGGCTCCGGAGGTGCTCAGGGCCAAAACCTGTGCTCTAGGCAGGTTATACTCTGATCTTCTGCTGGCAGCAAGAGGTTTGTAGACCCCTAGAAACTCCAGGACCTAGAGGATGTCTGGATTGAGCTATCCTCTTCCTATAATGGCCCGGCCCTTCCCTTCTCTACCCCGTGAAGCACTGACTCCCGAAGTCTTAACTCAATCCACACACTCCATCCTAGCCCAGGGGTCATAGGCCCTGGTCTGGATATAAACCAGGCAGGAAGAGGGCGACCAGAGGCGCGGGGCCCTTTGAAAGCTCTTCTATGGCAAAAAAGAAAAAGAAAGAAAAGAAACTCGAATTCAGGTTGCCCTTATCAGCAGCACCCTGAATACCTAAAATTGGGTCTGTCTTGGGAAATCTGATCCTGTAGCTCAGCATCACCTCTGAGCCCAGTGCATCTCTTTCCATTTGAGGGATGACAAAGGTCCCTTCCCCTCCTTATGTAGGGCCTGCAGGGAGAGGATCTCAAATCATCTTAGCCAACTCCAACTTCAGATTACCATCCCCCACCCCAAGGCAGCAGGAAGAGTAAGGAGATGAGTTACAGCTAGAGGGATAGAAGTTAGACCATGAGAAGCACCTTTGTAGTGCAGGTGCGAGTGCATTGGAGGCACAGGTTTACTGCTATGCAGATGGAAGAGACCAGGAACACTTCCACAGGAGAAGAAGGGGAAATAGTTCCAGAAGGCCCTAGCAAAGTTTAGTCGGTGTGTGTGTCCATGGGAAAGTGGAGAAGGCAGAGGAGAAAGTCGTTCAGAGAGGACAGGTGGCCGCTGAGTGTTAGCAGTGGCTTTCCTGCCCCCATCTGGATTCCCAGGACATGACTGGGAGGATGGACTTGACTCATGGCAGCCCTTAGTGACTAAGGCACTTTTCTGAGCAGGCAGCTGTCTCAGGCTCTCTCAACTGGCCTCTGCTGGAGGGAAGCTTCCACCTGTTCTCTTGGCCCTGCCCCCATCCCCAGGCCTATACTTCTTCCTAGTGACCAGACTCATTCATCTCCCTTGGGCACAAATCTCTCTCCAGCTCTGCCCTTCAGTTTTCCCCCCAGTAGAAAGGGGGCAGCTCTTTGATGGGCTGTGATCCGTCACTGTACCCATCATCCATCAATGGAGCAGGTATTGATTGAGGGGAAAGGGAGGAGGGAGAGTGCTCTCATTTGCCAGGTACCACCCATGTGCCAGGCCCTATCCCTAAGGGACAGACAGCAGTCATTTGCTGAGAAAGTTGGGGCTCAGGGAGGAGCAGGACTCACCTAAATACAGCCAGTGGGCTTGTCTTCTGGCTGGCACCTGGTACTGGGTCAGTGCTGGTACTGAGGAGATCTAGATGTGGTCAACGCCTGTTTTCTAGAACTCACTTTTGTCAGGAGGTGGGATACCCAGGCCTGACAGGTTTGAGATCTGGAAATGGCCAGGACTTTGGTCCTTGGGGCCAGGTTCACACCTGTTATTGACTCTCATTATGGACATAGGTTATCAGGAGTTTGGAATCTTCTGGAATGGAAGAGTGCTTTAAATGGGCAGTTTTCAGACCTAAGAGCAAGAGTCCTTCTTACTGACAGAATCAAGGTGGCACAGAAACAGGGAAAGCATCCAAGTGGAAGATCTTTGGTTCCCCCTCCCTCCTTAGATCCTAGACAGACAGACAGACAGACAGACAGACACACACACACACACACACACACACACACACACACACACACACACACACACACACATACACACACACCCCTGAATTTTCATACTGCTCTAAGAATTGGTGGAGGCCCAAGGAGGGAGAAGTCTCCACTGACAATGTTAAGTAGGAACCTTCTAGGGGACAGGAGTAGGGCAAACTTGGGCAGAAAAGTACAAGTAAAGCCTGCAGCTGACATCACTTAGGCTGGAGTTAAATGCTGACCCTTCTGCAGGAGACTTTCTCTGCTTTGTCTCTTGGAGCATTCCAACAAGTCTGTATCGCTGTTCACACCTCCATCTATACTTCAGAAGACAGACTCAGTAACTGATTTGCCTAGTAGTGCTCCTGACCTCTGGGTTGCAATGTGTATAGGTGAAATGCAGGGATGGGGAGGAGGGGGTGCTCTTGAGCAGGAAAGAGGAAGCACAAAGTGCAGCCAGGAGATGCAAGGCCTTGAATGCCAGGCTGAAACATCTAGTTTGGATAGGAAATACAGGGCCTGAGTCTGGGCCTGGGCCTGCTGCACAGGCTGAGGCTTCCCAGAAGATAAGCTAGGAGGGGTGTGGTGGGAGATCCTGGCAATAATGGAAGTCAACAGTACCAGGGGGCAGGAAAAGCCTTGAAATTCAAGTCATGGCTGGGTTCCCAAACCTAGCTATTTCTTCTCCACTTCCCCAGATTTCAGGAGGGTGGAATGCAGTTTGCATGAAAAGTCACAAATCAGCAGAGGGATGCACAAACCAGACCCACTGATCACAGTCCTTGCCAGTCCTCCTCTGAGCAGTCTTTCTTTCTTTTCCTTTTCTTGTTCTTTCTTTCCTTTGTGCCAGTCCTGGGACTTGGACTCAGGGCCTGGGTGCTGTCCCTTTTTGCTCAAGGCTAGTGCACTACCATTCGAGCTACATACAGCTCCACCTGGCTTTTTTGGTAGGTTAGTGGAGATAACAGTCTCACAGACTTTCCTTTCACCCCTGGCTTCAAGCTGCGATCCCCAGATCTCAAAATCTTGAATGAGCTACCAGTGCCTTTAAAAAATTTTTTTGGTGCCAGTTCTGGGGCTTGAATTCAGGGTCTGGGCACTGTCCCTTAGTGCCCTGAGCACTTTTTCCATTCAAGGCTGGTGCTCTACCACTTGAGCTACAGCTCCACTTCTGACTTTTTGGTAGTTAACTGGAGATAAGAATCTCACAAAGCCAGGCACCAGTGGCTCATGCCTGTAATGCTAGCTAGTTAGGAGGCTGAGATCTGAGGATCATGGTTCAAAGCCAGCCGGGGCAGAAAAGTCCATGAGATTCTTATCTCCAATAAACCACTCAGAAAACCAGAAGTGGTGCTGTAGCTCAAGTGGTAGAATGCTTACCTTGAGCTGAAGAGCTGAAGGACAGCACCCAGGCCTAGAGTTCAAGCCCCACAACTGATTAAAAAAAAAGAAAAAGAATCTCACGGATTTTCCTGGCAGGCTAGCTTTGAACCACATGTGATTCTTAGATCTCAGCCCCCTGAATAGCTAAGATTATGGGTATGAGACACCACATCTAGCTGAACAAACATTACTGCTCAGTTGAGGACTGATAAGGAGTATGTTCATGGTGTGATGTCATGATATTAGTACCTCTGGAAATCCACCAAGAGCAGGAGATATAAAGGAGACAGAAGGCTGCATCCCCTTCTTCCTTCCCCTCCCCCCAAAGGACAAGAATTAGATCAACAAATGAGAGAGAATAGTGCTACCTGGGGAATTTCTCTTCTGAGTGTGCCATTGACCTAACCCAGCCTTGAAAAAGCTAGCCAGACCAGTCAGCTCTGAGCCACAGGAAGTGTGAAAGAGCAGTGTCAGTGAACTCAGTGAAAGTGAACCCCCATTGATCCTAAACGGGCTGGAGGGGGGCCCGGCCCACCTGGAGGAGACACAGAGGGAAGAGGAGGTATGAAAATGAAGGTCAAAGCCATTCCTTCTTGGACTGTGCCTCCTCTCCCTTGAGGATTATTCCTGTTTACTGCTGGAGGACCATGAGGAAGGCAATGGGATCAGGGTTCTGCTGGTAGGCTCCATGCTGGCAGTCAGTGGAGCTGTTTGGGTACACAGAGGAAAGTCTGTTCTGAGTCACTTAAGTGAGTAGAAAAGCTATTCCCAACTCTCTTGGCCAAAGAAACTCGATTGAGAGCTCCAGGAGGGAGATGATAAGAGCAGGAACTGGAGACTAAATGGTAGTGAAAAGTGTTCAGAAAATGTAAGAGAAACAGAGGTTCAGGAAGAATAAGGGAGCTCAGAAAAGGCAAAGGGGTTCAGTGAGATGGGGAGACTGAGGGAGACTTCCAGACCAAGGTAGGTTGGTTTCAAGCTACCTAAAGTTTCTGAAAATTCCCTTGTATCTGATCCCAAGATGATTCAAACATCTATAGGAATCCTTTCTGGAATTATTAGATATATAAGATAAAAGATGGAATATTTCTTTTGGAAAGAGGTATACAAGATTAAAGCAAGGGCAGTCAGGAAAATTGCTACAGACTGTCTCAAGGATAAACTTGACAGCATAATAGAAGATATCAAGAGATATCTCTTTCATGGAAGAATTCATCCCTGAAGATCTGGAGATCATGGAACTAGCTGAAAGGATGTTTGATATTGTTAAAAAAATCTTTAAGATAGCATTTTGTAAATGCTGTTGGCATCTTTACAACAAGAAATACATCCAACAAGGACATGGAGAAGTAAACAGAGCTACCTAGAAATTTTAGAAATTAAAGTAACTGACATTAAAAAAATCAAACTGAGGATTTATTTAATACAACCAAAGGGAGAATTAGTGAATTAGAAGCTAGAACTTGGGTGCTTACCAAGAATGAAACACAGAATAATAAGGCAATGAAACATATAAGAGAAGACTGAATGAGAAACTCTAGCATATATATTATTAGGTTGAGATACTGGAAAGTGACCAAGCTCTTTCCAGAAATAAGACATGAATTGCTAGATTTAGAAGGCCCACCGATTGCCTAGTAAGAGATCTTGAAAAACAAAACTACACCTAGACACCTTATAGTCAAAAGTGTAGAATATCAAGAACAAAGAGGAAATTCTAAAAGCAACCAAAGAGAAAAAAGCTTCTGAACAAAGGTCCAATAATTGAATTGACAGTAAACTTCTCATCAGCAACAACAGATGCCAAGAGACAACAAAAGAGCATCTTCAGAGTGCTGAGGGCAAATAATTGTGAGCCTACACCTCCACACCTTGCCAAACTGTCATTTAAATCAAAGGGCAAAATACATTTGGATTATGTGTGAAATCTTAGAAAGTTTCTATCCGATAGACCTTCATTGAAAAAAAGAGGTAAAGGGTCTTGGGGGAAGAGCTGTGAGCTTAGAGATGTCACGGGGTTTAGTGAAGGCCAGGCCTCCGGGAGGGGCAAAAAGGTTTAGGGCTGGGCTGAGAAGATGGCTCAGTGGTAGAGCGCTTGCCTTGCATGCCTGAGGCCCTGGGTTCGATTCCTCAGCACCACATAAGCAAAAAGAAAAAAGCCGGAAGTGGTGCTGTGGCTCAAGTGGTAGAGTGCTAGCCTTGAGCTGAAGAGCTGAGGGACAGCACCCAGTCCCAGAGTTCAGGCCCCACGACCCGACCCCCCCCCCCCCCCAAAAAAAATGGTTTAGGGCTATGGGCAAGCCCAGGCTCTGTTTTGGATCTCTCCTCAACACCAGCCAATCAGAGGAGCCCAGCGCAGCCTGGCTCAGGTAGAGCCAAGCTCAGGTTTTCCCCTTTTGAGTGCAGCCTTGCTGTCCTCCTGTCCCCTCTTTCTGGTCTGGGTAGTGGCATGACATCCAAGCTAAGGGTGATATCACCAGCCTGGCTTTGAGGAGGCCATGCCCAAATTACTCGTGACTGGGCATTTGACCTCCATCCTAGGCTTCTCTCCTATAGGCCAATGGATGGCTGCAGCCACTGGCTTTACAAAAACAATCATGAACAGAGAAGACAAGTCAGGGCTAACCCAGTTGAGAGACTTGAGACAGTTGGCTTTTTCAAATATCTAGCTTTATTAGATCAGCAGTGCCCCTCAACAATTTCTTAACCTCTTTGAGCCTCAGTCTCTTGCTTATAAAACGGAGAGAATACCTACTTAAGATGAAATGAGAATCCATCTAGATATCAAACTTTCGTTCTATTTTCCTACATAAAGATCACTTAAAAGGATAAGCTCTGACAGTCCTGCCTAGCATAGCATCAGTACTAGACCACAGATGAGGTGGGATGTGCCTAATACTGAAGCCATAAGCACAGGAACCTCATCTGGCCTGTTTTCAGCTGGTTTCAGAATGACCAAAACAATACCTGACACATATAGAGGATGCCAAAGAAATATCTGCTGAATGACTGTGTATGCAAGCCCTAAAAATAGTTTGTAAAAGTTGATATGGAAGCATCAAAGAGGCCTTTGTTGACTGCCCCAGGAGCTGTAAGTTTCAGTGAGGGCCATTTAAACTGGACCTTGATGGATATATGAGATTCTAAGTAAGAGGGGGAATAAAAATGCATCCCAGGCACTGGGGCCAGCATTCTGAAAACATGGAGGTCAGCTCAGGAAACAAGAGGAATTGTGTGACAGAAGTACAGATGATAAGAAATAAAGCTGGAGAGATAAGGAGAGTCTTGAATGAACTTGAGCTGTTAGAAAGTCCTTATTAAATCTATCTACTTTGATGATTTAGTATTCTGGAAAGAATTTCCAGGCATCCTTGACCCATGGACAGCCCCCCCACGCCACCCTGTTCAGAGAGTGCGTCTTATTAGAAAGGCTAAAAACCTAGTACCCACTGAGAGAGACCAAGTCCTGCCCCCAGGAGTTCCTAGAATTCCAGTTGGAATAAGGGCTCCACAAGGAACCTTTGAGGCTCATAAGGCTGCATGCTGCCCCCTTGTGGCCACCACATCTGAGCAGCAAAGGAGCCAGCCAAATCATCTCCTAATCCTAGTAAACTGCTACAATCTCCAGCTTGCTGTCACAGAGCACCGATGGCTTCATTTATCCCACATATACTCAGGGCTGGGCCAGTGGGTTCAAGGCATGAGATGAAACACAAGTACCACCTTGGGTCAAGAGATTAATTGCTGTATGTACAGAAGACCCATGTTTCAGTTTAATGACACCTATAATTCATGGAGTGACCTTGGGCAAGTCACTGCACTTCACTAAGCTCTTCTGACTTCATCTGTAACACAGAGATTATGATCCCTCTTCCTGTCTCTTCTGCAGGGTCACTGTGAAGATCATCAGGACGGATGCTGCAAATGCTAGAAAAAATGTTTAAAGAGTGCTCCGGATGTAAGGGGATCGTGCTGGGTATTAGATAGGGGCTCTCTTGAGCTGCACTAAAGGGTTTGTTTACACCAGGATGGGCCCTGCTGGCAGGGCCATTTAAAGGGAACGCACTCAGCAGAGAAGCTGCTTGCCAATCACCATTGATCGAAATATCTCTTAACACAAGAATGGGAGTCTATGGGAAAATGGGACCTGCGGACTAGCCTGCAGTTCTGCTTGGGTTTTGGATTTTCAGGAATGACTGGAAGAGCAGCAAGCTAAGACAGGAAGTAGGACAGCGGAGCTTTGCCTTTTCTATTATCAGGGCTCCTCAGCATGTTCCCTTTCTCTTGTACTCTCCTTGCAGGCTTGAGCAGTGAAAGCTTGCTGTTAGGCTTCATTTGGTCATTCTTGAGTTACGGGTACATTTGGTGAGGCAATCCTGAGAGATCAGGCTTCAGCTTAAAATTGCCTGATAGCCTCTGTCCCGTTCTTACCTCACCAGAGCAAGTCCCCCAAACAAGGGAGTTGCCTATGGTTTTACAACTGATACCTGTTTTTCCCTGGCACTTGGTTTCACTGCTCCTGACAACAGGCCCTATTCTGGTTGTGAAGATGCATGGTGAAGGTCCCCAAGGCCAGCTCACCACCAGCTCTATGTCCCTGCTTCAATGGATAGAGTAGACACAGCTGCAGAAGCGCTTATCTGCTGGGTGACAAAGGGCCTGAGCTGCTCTGCTGGAAGATGCTGGCCTCTGATAATGAGCAGAGCCACACAAGGCACCAAGGGTCAGCCTATGCCATGTGGGACTGCAGGGAATTCCTGCAGTCCTTGTTTACAGGGTAGAGCCAGTGTTCTCCAGGAGAGAGACTGTCCTCTTGGTCCTCAACCAAGCAGGCCACAACTCTACTGGATACTATATAGAGGTCCAGTTAGGTGAGGCAGTAGGGCACTTCCCTGCAGCAGACATGCTGTCAAGTTCACTGGTAAGGCTGACCAAGGACTTTCGATGTGACATTCAAGTTTCCTTGGGCTTTGGACATGTCCTCTTCAAAAGGGTGTCCTGTCTTTTCAGACACCCAATCTGAGGATAAAGAAACGTTTCCCAATCAAGATGCCCCATGAATGTTTCCAGACACAAAAACTGACTCTAACGTATCTAAAATGAGATTTATTGCATTTCATGCAGTTTGAAGTCCATGCAGCGAAGGAGACTAGCACAATTTTTAACACATTTTTTTAAAAAGAAAAGAGGGGGCAGCAAATGCACAAAGTTCTAGTCTCCTTGAGTTCCTGGGAAAGGAGGGCTGGGAATGAAACCATTGCTTTCCATGAGGAATGACTTCATCTCCAAATGCAAGAAACACTTCCACGGTCCCTGGATACCAATACAGAGCTCTGAGGAGCAGGTGGGACAGGAGCAGAGAGGCGCAATGGGTAAAAAGGAGCTGCACCCCCTCCACCTGATTCAATCTGAGGGCAGAACAAGGGAGCAAATCTCGGGGCTGCAGCTGTTGCAAGAGTCAGGAAATGCTGTGCACCCTTAGAGAGAAAGATCTGCTCCTATAAAGTGGTGGTGGGAACCAAAGTAAGAAAAGCAAACGGAGAAATACTTCTTCAACCACGTGCTTCAAGAAAATGCCATAAATATGTTATTTAATATTCTCATTTCATAGCATTGGACACACAGCTCAATATGTGGAAATATTGATTCCTCGGAGAAAAAAATGAAATAAAAAATATTGCATCTTTCTGTTGGAGAATCTCGGCCCCCAGGCGCGGAGCGTAGTGCACCAATGTCCTAGCCTGCAGGGGGTGCTGAGGTCGCTGGTCCTCGGGGAGGGAGGTTGTGCCCATCACTTAGGGCTGTATGGCAAAAATTGTGTTTGGTGTCCTTGCCAGCTTAGGCCCTCAATCGCCGGTCACCTGGGGGGTCTGCCCATCGGTGGGCTGGTTGGCTGACTGGATGAACATGGGCTGGGCGAGGTCCTGGCCCGCAGGCATGGTGACTTGCTGGATCTGGTAGAGCTGCTGCAAGGGGGGGAGAGGAAAGAGTGAGGTCACTCCTGGGAGAGGAGCAGGCAGCTCCCTGTGGGCTTCAAGCTGGCTGGGGGACCTGGTGATACCTCAACCACTACCCACTGCAAGTGTAGGGGGAAGCGGGGGAGGGGGTGTTCTGGGAACAGCAGACATGAGGCACCCGCCTGATGGAGAGGGGGTGTGTGGTGGGCAAGGAGGAGGTGCTAAGAGTTACATTTCCTGTGGCTTTCACTTCTCTGGGCTCTGACTCTTCAGTTAGTAGCTCAGAGCCTCAAGCTTGTTGCATGCTGCTCCACTGTGACAAACACAGGCAATTCGAATACTGTACCAGCAGCTTGCAAGTCAGGCTTTCCCCAACTCTTGGCAATTCTTACTGACAGAGGCAGTTGGATTACTCCCTCTGCTTTCCTCAGGTTATCTGGCTCAGGCTGAAGTTAAGCTGAGCCTGCACTTGCTACATGGCCCTATGAAAGAGGCGACCTAGTGTTAAAGGTAGTAAAGGCTTATTACCACTAAGTCCTATGAGGTGGAATAGGCACTCCCTTGCCTATTTAGGAAAGTAATGGCCTACTGGCCTCTTGGTTTCTCAGGGCCTTCAAAAGCCCAAAAAGCCAAGACCTTCCACATAGGAGGTCTAGTACCTGATGCTGCCAGAAGCTGGTCTTGATGCCTTCTGGGCATCAGAAATCAAAAGTTTGGACATATCCTGTCATATACTCAGTAGTCACTGGGACCATGCCACAAGGGGAAAGCAGGGGTAAGAAGGAACGTCCCTTCCTTCAGCGCCTTTACAAGGCACCCTGTTTCCTAAGGCACACTGATGGAAGGCTAATATTATGGCTTACTGCAGGGGCATTACTGTTTACTGCAGGGGCAAATAGGACACCTGCATGCTAATCCTGGCTTTTCACTGAACAGTTGAGTACAAATGGACAAAGCACTTTCCAAACCTATGACTTAGTTTGTTCTTCTGTAAAATAGCAATTTGGGCGACAGAACATCTAAAGTTATTTTTAGGATGGGCGCCGTGGCTCACACCTGTAATCCTAGCTACTCAGGAGGCTGAGATCTGAGGATCACGGTTCAAAGCCGGCCTGGGCAGGAAAGTCCATGAGATTTTTATCTCCAATAAACCAATAGAAAACCAGAAATGGCACTGTGGCTCAAATGGTAGAGCACTCGCCTTGAGCTGAAGAGCTGAGGGATGGCGCCCAAGCCCAGAGTTCAAGCCCCATGACCAAAAAAAAAAAAAAAGTTATTTTTAGCTCTTACAGTCTAAACACTGTAAGATACGTGCCCTCACCTAAAGACTGCACATATGTCAACAACTTCTGTCCACTCATTGTTAGTGGAGGGCAGGACTATCGTCCTAATACCATCAAACTCCAAACCTGCACACCTCCCCCAAGCCTGCCCACCCACCCAAACTCCTTGCCCTTTGCTTCTGCCCAGGGTAGGTACCCTACCTGTCCATCTGTAAACTGGCTGAACTGCTGCTGTCCTTGCTGGACCTCTGTCTGTGTGATCTGTGGAAAAGGACAGGGCAGAGTAGATACGTTAGCTGCAGGGTCTTATCAGCACACCACTAAGAAAGATCAAAATGGGGCTGGGAAGGTGGCTCAGTGGTAGAGCGCTTGCCTTGCAAGCCTGAGGCCCTGGGTTCAATTCCTCAGCACCACATAAGCAAAAAGAAAAAAGCCGGAAGTGGCGCTGTGGCTCAAGTGGTAGAGCGCTAGCCTTGAGCTGAGGGACAGCGCCCAGGCCCAGAGTTCAGGCCCCATGACCGGACCCAAAAAAAAAAAAAAAGAAAGAAAGATCAAAATGCCCAGAAGGAAGTTTACCACAAAACAGGTGTTCGATGAAGGGCTGGAAAGCAAGCTTCTCTCCCAATCTCCTAGCTCCAATGGCTACCCAAACAGTTAACACCATGTAGGCACACAAGACATAGCTTTCCACCACCCCCTTGCCTCCAGATCAGCAGCTGAAGAGGATGCCCAGCTCCCAGTCTTAGTGCAAGGCACTCAGTATAGTCTGGATAGAAGCCTAAAAGTCATCTTTTAGCCAGAAAGGGCAGATTGCAGAAAGGGCAGAATGCTGTGCAAGGTGGTAGGTGGTCCCTTTCCCTTCTGGATGGTAGGCTCCAAACCAAACCCGTATCACCTGACTGGGAATATGAAACACCCTGGCAAGCAGTGGACCTGGCATTGGCAGAGTTCATGGCAAACCTGTGAAGTACTTTTTCCGAGTGGCAACATACACCCATCTGGGCCAAATTGGGGAGAGATGGGTATAGCAAACTTTTGTGGGAATTTTAAAATGAATTCACTGGTATGTAGATAGTAGGAAGTACTGGGAGCAGCATGGTAAACTGGAAAGGAGACTGGAGGATGCACATGCATGCGTGTCTCTGGAACATCTAACTGGCAATGGCCCCTATGTACCACCTCCTGGAATTGTCCCAGCTAACCTGCAAGGAAAGGCCTGTCCTCTCAAGTGTCCTCTTGACAGCCAAACACCACACTAGTGATCTTACCCAGGACGCTATAAGGGGCATGAACGCAGACAGGTGACAAAAGACTTTTCATTAATACTCCTTAACTTAGGTCATTCTCCTCTCACAAGTTTGTAAGCTATTTGAGGGCAGGAGCTGTATTTTGTCTTTCAACATCATGTGCCAAGTACGCATTCAAGAAATGGCCTGCAGAATAACTAGATGAGCCTGAGATAAACAATAGATTCTCAGAGATAAGATTATCTATGCCTCCTGGCCAGCAAAACCACTGTTCAAATGAATATTGAAGAGTTTCATTTATTTTCATTTACGTTGATTTGGCATTCACTGGACAAACTTTTACTGAGCACCTACTACCATGTGCTAAGCTATCACAACTACAACATGTTATTATAGAGATTTAACTGCCCCTAGGGGTAGAACCTCCCTTCTTGCTTCTCCCTCTTCTCTTCCCAATTTCTGGTTTTGAGTTCTATGCCCCAAACTGATCTCTGAGGAACCAACAACCTTACTCATTTCCTCTATTCTCAATGTCATGTAAAGTTTTTGGATCTCAAGAAGAATCTTACAAGCTTTAAAAAAAAATTTCAAAAGGGAGATGGACTCAAGAACATGACCAGTGCTGAGAAATCAGTAAGTACAACTGGGTCCTAAGAAAATTATGGAAAACCACATGTCTGTAGGTAAGCAGGTAGCAGGTATGGAAAGGGCTCTTTAAGGATCCTAGAGTCTATACAGAGCTCAGAAGTTTTGCTTTTGGCTCTTTCCTTACATTTTCCCAAATGAGATCTTCGGAGACCTGCTTTACAAACTCAGCTCTGTCACCATTGTCAATAGTACATCACCAGAAATGCAACTGGGCCAGACGGGTCCAGCTCTTAAACGATTGCTGCTTTTTTTGGGGCTGAGGCAGAAGAATCCATTAACAATGCCTCCCCTTGACCAGCATCCTCCACCCTCTGCCAACTATGCCCAGGTCCCTCAACGTCCCCAAGGCCAGGAAAAGGGAGCCCCCTCAGCACCTGTGACGCACAGCCTTCAATATCATAGGGAAAGAGCCATGTGCAGAGGTAGTATGCTTTCCAGAGGGCACAGGAGCTGCCCAAATACAGCTGCCACTGAGATTCCAGGATGGGAACAGCCTGAGGACCAGGCTTACTCTTCCCTGATGTGTACATGCACCCACTGGATTTCTTTCAGGTACCCTCAAGGCCTCTTCTACCTGTGTTCCTTTGTTAGAAACACTCTGAATCAATCTTGTGATTACCATCTGTCCCTTGGGTGCCACACAGATGGGGGCAGGAAGTGGGGCAGGTCTTGCTGAAGAATGAGGAGTTGTGTGACGAGTACTCCTTTCTCAACAGAAACGGCAGCTGCTCTGTGCCTGTAACTCAAGCCTTGCATCTCTGGGGTACATACCTGTTGGGCATTGGTGGCAAGTGTCTGGATCTGTCCCTGCACAACCTGGGTGCCTGATACAGGCTGGGCTAAGCGGATATACTGCAGCTGGCCGGCATTCAGCTGCACCTAGAACAGGGAAAGAAATAAAGGGACCAAGAAGATTGAGTTCAATCTCATATAAGTAAACTTTCCACAACTCCTCAAGCCCAAACAAAGGCCAAAATAAGCACCACCCCTTCCCCTAAAAGTCAGATAACACAAAAGAGAAGTAATCTAAGTAGACAATGGAAAAAATTCCCAGCTCTTGTCATGTGTGAGCCCAGAATGGCTACATGTTCAGGATTTGCTGGCCATTGGTTGTTGATCAGGACCTACCTGAGGCACTTGTACTAAAGATCTCTGACATTGTCAGTATGCTCATGGCCTCCTTTTCTTCCATCTCCACATTTCCCAATACTGTGAAGAGCTCTACCATCCTCCAAGAGCCTGTACAGATGGCTGTAATTCTGCATCATAGCCTTAGTGCTGCCTGGTCCATGCTGCACACTTAGAGGAAGAGGCTGGCCTGCCTTATTATCTCTGTCCTCAAGAGCCAAGACCAATGGGGGTCTGTGGGACTTTGAGGAACTTTAGTGTTCAGCACTAGCTTCTGGCCAAACACCTCCCAAGGGGAAGCAGAATCAATAAACCTCTCAGAGAAAACCTCATCATGGGAAACCAATGCTACAAAAGTGCCCTTAAGAGTCCCTCATGCTTACAATTAAGTCTTAGATAATACAATAATACCAAAGGCTGCATTTAATTGTGTGCTAAAAGCCTTAACTCAGGCTCTTAACGCTCCAGTGTGCCATGGAAATCTTAGTGCTCTGGACACGGCAGTGCAGGGAAGATGGTACAGTTACGCGACAATCTGTGGCTCAGCAGAGACAACAGGCAGCAGAAGATAGCAGCCATTCTTACCCAAGATGGAGGGACTGAAATGACTGGGAATCCAGGCCAATCTGACCTATCTCTGAGAAAGCATCCTCTTGACTGCCCAACCTGCCTCTGTTGCAAGGGGAGCTTCTTCTGTATGACTGTCATGCCTCTGCCCAGCACAAGCTTCCTCCTGCCTTCAAGAGTTAACTTTACTGCAGGAACCTGACTCCATAAAGAAAATGCTTGTAGAATACAACCACATTCTTGCTTGCAGTGTTCAATCAAATGTTTCTCTGAAACTTCTGGCCTCAATGGGTTGAAATCACCAAGAAAAAACTCATTCTGTTGGTCACTAGTACTCACACCTGTAATCCTGCCTACTTAGAAGGCTGTGAACCCCTTATTTCCAATTAGCAAGCAAAAAGCAAGGAGTACCAGCGAGAATTGAGCAAAAAAGCCAAGTAAGACTACAAGGCCTTGGAGAGAGAGAGAGAGAGAGAGAGAGACACACACACACACACACATACACACACACACACAGGCTCTTCATACACACACACATTCTCTCTGACTCTCTTTCTGTCTCTCTCTCACACACACAAAAAAACAAAAACAAAAAGTTATTCACATTCTTGGAAGATCATTCTAGAATTGTCTGCTTAAGGCAAGATAGAGGGATACAAAAATCTAAACCTATTAAGCATCTAGTTCAAAGGAAATATGGCAAAAATGTTGTGACTGGCAGTCATTTCTTTCCTGAGACTATGCCAGTAAGAGCTGCTGGTACCATGCTTAAATTCCCTAGCAAATGCAACTTCCATGTAACAGTGATAAGTTGCTTGCTGGAATGAAAGCATCTGGGAAGGGGTTTGGGAAACCTCAAATACTGAGACTGATGGTGCAAGCCAAGGATCCCATGGTGAAAACCCAGAGCTGTGTCCCAGGTGTGAGGGAAGGTATACTGACAATCGTAGGTATTTTATATTTCCTCACTAGAAAGCACCATTTGCAGAAACCCAATATGACCAAAATTTGTGAGTTAAATAGCTTCAAGCATTTTGGAAAGAGAAGCAGGGAGTTTTGATCTTCAGGTCTAAGTTCAGAGACCTGGTGATACACTACCCCTCAGTCTTCCAAGACTGGATAGGTCACAGCTTTCTTTTTTCTTTTTTCCTCCACTAATTATAGAGCAAGCTAGCTTATCCCTTGGGTTTTCAAAAGAGAAGTCCTTTTTGTCCTGAAGGTCATCACTGCTAGAAGCACTCTGCTGAGTGGCATGAGGTGTCTGGAAACCAGTGAAGATGAAACTGTAAATTCTGCAACTCATCTAGGCTAAAGTTTTGTGCTGCAATATTAAAGTTACTGAATTCTTCTTTGGCGTAAATGACCTTATTTTGACATAAACATACACAAAGGAGAACCACTCAAGGGGAGGTCCTGGGATTGGTAAGTGAGGTAAGGCAGAGCCTAGGCACCTGGAAAGGATGGTGTGGGTGCGGAGCTGAGGATACTCTGTGAGTTTTCAAAGAGGAAGTGACTAGCCAAGTCCAAGTGAGTTTCTCCATCTGCCTGCATGCTCTGTGACATTCACTTCCTAGCTTCTGATGGCAAAGTGACCAACATATAGTTTCCAAGTATTAAAACAAATTACGAGCATGTGTGCATGCATGCACACACATACATACATATGTACACACACACACACACCATCAGATCTAAGAAATGAAATCCCTCAATGCACATAAGAAACAGCAGTCAACAGTGGAGACATGGCTAAGATAAATGAAAGTCAAAAATACGCTTTAATGAAAGCTCCACTGGGAACTTATAAATATGCAACAAGTGTATTTATAGCCTTTCTTATATACCTTCCTTTTATTCTCTGCTAATCAAAAGACAGGCCTGACTTGCAGGGTCTTTGGGCCTGGTGGGGGTAGTGCCATAATCATCTGAGTAGGTAGAGAAGACATAAAGAAGGGCTGCATCACAGCGGCAAACCTAAATCCTGGACTGAAACAACGTGAAGAGTAAACAGTGAGGTTGCTGAGGAGGGCACGGGGTATAATATGAACACAGGTTAAACAGAACAGTTCTGTGTGTAAATAGGTCATATAAAATCTTTTGACGTATTTCCCATCACAAGCTGAGCATAAACAGCGCCATCTAGGTCTGGGACAGGCTTACCGGGATCTGCTGGATCTCTCCTGTGTTAGTGATGATTTGCTGCATCACCTGCATGGTCTGTCCAGTGCCACTCTGAGCCTGCTGGGCTTGACCCTGAGGCTGGGCTTGGACAATCTGCACCTGCTGGCCTTCTCCAACCTGCATTGTCACAGGTGTAGTCTGGAAGAAAAGGTCAAAAGAAAGTTGCTCGAGCTCTGGCTGAAAGCCCCTATGATTACCACGTGGCTAAAAACAAGAAGTTAACCAGGAGCACACACTCTCCATTAATGCTTAAACTCATCTCAATACTAACAACACTCAACCTACAGAGTTTTTTGGATCTTACAGTGCTGTTAAAATTAACTTTTGGGGGTGGGGTGGGGGGGAGATGAGACAGAGGAGAATGATGGAAAAGGTAACTCTGATCAAGAAGCACTAGACAGATGAACACGTTAAATCACCTTGTACAATCTTTTGAGGTTGTTTTTTTTTAAAAAATCAACTCTCTGAAAGATGGGAAAGTCAAACTGAGTTTTAGGCTCCGAGTATAGAATAATTTGCCTGGGGGACCAAATATAATTGTTTATGTTTCAAATGTTACAACTTTTCAATGTCCTTCAATGACAATAATGTGTATGATGCATACACACGTGCATGTGTACGCACACACACACACACACACACACACACACAAATCAAAAGCAGGGTTAGAAGAATGGCTCAGAGGTAGAATGTCTGCCTAGCAAGTACAATATCCTAGATTCAAACCTAAGTAAGAAAGGAAGTAATAAGTAATCATGACAGTTAACTTGAAAAATAGCCATAGTCAAGCCTGGCCCAGGTAAATTTGGAAAGCCAAACAAAATAGAAAGTGAGGCCCATATGAATTTATTAAATTCAGTGTTCTGGGCTCCTTCTTAGCCATGAAGGATAGTGGAAGGAAAATGAAGCCTGCAAGTTCATCTCCCAGGCTAGGCCTAGCACATGTTGGCTTTCATCCCCATTCAAGCTGCAGAACAACTCCTACCCATGTTAAACAGATGGCTGCCCTGGACTAGAGCGTGGTTTCCCACAGGAGAGTCAAAACACCAGACAACAACCTGAATTAAAATCGTGGATTTAAGAAACTTTACCCAATGTATATGAGAATTGGCAGATTCTGTATCTCTTTTACTAAGTGGTTTATGATCATACAAAGCTATTTTATGAGATGGTAAAGGTAACTGTCAAAAGGGTCAACCACACCTTCAAATTTCAAGACCTTCTCCCTCAATGTGATTTTTATAGATCACCTAGAGAAACAAACCCACATATCTGGCAGCAGTAGTCACGAAAGAGATCTGGAGTCCTTGAAACTAAACCTAATACTCCCAACTCCTAAGCTCTCATCCCCACCCTGATTTGGACATAGTCTGCCTCAGTTCTGAATGGAGAATCACTAAAATAAAATGACTGTGGAGGTCTCAATGAATCATGGTCTTCAAGTCATGTTTCTATTTTGATGTTCTTAATTCTGAATGCAGAGGCCTACCAGAATTATGACTGTGTGTCTAAAGTCACATTTAGGAACACAGATAAGATTCAAGTGATTACTAGGTAAGGAAAAATTACTATAAACTAGAAAACAGAAAAGAAGGAGATTTCCATGTAAGTACCTGCAGTGGGCTTGGATAACAGAGACATTTCTTCTATTCTCATATCAAAATTTTCAACTCAGCCTATCCCAAACCTCCTAAAGTCCCCAGAAGATAACAGAAAACGCAGAATTCATTTTACCACAGTATGCATTACTTTCACCTTTGCTTATCTGTATCCTTTTGCAAAGAATATTTGCATTCAACTTGAAACAGCCACTGCTAATGGTCCAGGGAGGCGTGACCCAGCAGAGGCCACCCGGAAGCAGCAGGATGGGAAAACAACAGCTGGGAGGGACCAAGTTCTCCATCCTCCCAAGCCTTATTAGCTCCAGGCTGAGTAGGTCTGGGCTAGCAGAAAAGACAGATAAAATTCTTGCTGACTTAAAAAAAAATGTAATGCTGCCAACTCATCACTGTACTTTATCAGCCCAATTTCCCCATGAGGATTTCCAAGGTATTTCTATATCATTTCAGGAAAATGAGTACTTATGTTAGCAATGGCAGCTGCCAAATCATGTACGGTGTGCCCTGCTGTCAAGGCACAACAGCTCTAGGCTTCTTAGGACGATGAGGCAATCACAGCCAACCCATAGCAGTCTCACTTAAAATTCATCTGGTAAAGAGATAAAGTGGTTGGCAGGTAAAGTGCTCCCCACTGCAGAAGCACCAGAATGAGCCAAAGACAGTCCCTTAGGACTCCTCAGAAGGCAGTGAATGCCTTGGGGCAGGGACTGGACTAAGATCAACTTTGAGTCCCTCCTGCCTAATTGCCACTGTCTGATTTAGAACAAACAACAAACAAATAAGAACAGGGAATAAATTGTAAAGTCTTAATGTCTCTATCTTTATTGCAATGTCCTTCTAGGTAAATCCAGCTTTTTTACTACCACAAATTATCCAGGATATGTTTCCTGGACTTGCCTAGATGGTCCCCACATGCTGAGTGTACTTTGCTCTATTCCCTGTATTTCTCCCCCCCCCCCCCCCCCCCGCCCGCCCCACTTCTAAGCCTTTGTTGTGCTTGGCCATCGACTATCAATACCATCTTTTCCTGTTTTATTTAAACTTCCAGTATTCCCTTGGAGACTCTTATTATTTCCTTTAGGAGCCTTCCCTATCCACCTCGTCACATCTTTCTTAGCTCCTCTTTTTGGTGTGTTCCACAGCACTCTATGTAATTTTAAGATTGTCTTACTCTTCCTAAATAGTATAACCTTTAAGTATTTGTATCCTAACTAGATTGTCAATTCCTTAAAAATCACGACTTTTATTTATGCTATGTCCCCAATACCTAGCACAGGACTTTACTCACAGTGGATGCTCACTGTTTGATGAATAAATAAAGTAATGACTGACAGAATTTGGATTCAGAGCTCACAGTACTGAGTCCTCTGCAGCCTCTCATGACTCCCAACGGATGGTACTGCTCTCAACAGTACTATGGGGGAGAGAAAAAAATCCTCTGATTACTATTGTAAAAAGAGAAGGTCACCTGACACAAACATGGTGGGACAGAGAAATGACCTGGATGAGAGGAGAGGTATGGAAGCTGGCAATGATGTCTGATATCCCCCTTAAGGGCACCAATTCCAGTTCTGGCTTAGACACATGGCAGACATAGAGTCTGCTGAAAAGACCTTCTACAAAGATCCCACCACTCTTCACAGGCACACTGAAGAAACTTTTTAAAATTTCCTTCTAAACTGTCTGAGCTCATAGAGATCTTGGAGAATATTTTGTCCATTGCAATTTCCTCATCATCTGACCTATGAGTTAACAGTCTGGGGGGAGTAAAGCAATGCTTTGCCTTGGTAACTAAATTAGGGGAAAGCTCAGGTTTCCAGGCTTCAAATCCAGTGATCTTCAATGATTTGGCTGCCTCTCTATGCTAGACAAGTTTTCCCCATACAAACCTACAAGGCAGTAGGTCACAGACCTGGCCCTGCTGAGGTTGAGCAATGATGATCTGCCCAGGCTGGATAGTAGTCGTGGAGCTGGTGGTCTGCTGGCCTTGCTGCTGCCCCTGGACTTGGACAGCAGTGGGTTGCTGAGCCAGTGTGAAATAGTATTGGACAGGCTCAGCAGGAGTCACGGACTGGCGCACCTCCTCCTGTGGGGTGGAACGAGAGGCAGGTAAGGGGAAAAGAACCGACTCAGCAACCGCCAGTGAATTTCCACTCTTTCCCAAACAGGCTATGTGCAGTTGCCTGCTGAATGCTGAGCTATCCACATTTGAAGCCAAAAGAAAGTGGAATTCGAAGAGACCAGTTGTGCTAAATCAAACTAAAAATAACAGATTCCATAGGCTTCACAAAACTTACAGCCAATTTTCTGAAGCACTGAGTAATCACCCATTGCATGATGAGTTGCAAGTGAGCAAATAATTACCGTAACTAAAAACTGTGCACCAGCAGCATGCTTGTCAGTAAGGGCTCTCAAAGCCCATGATCTGAGAACAGCACCAATTGCCAACACTGGGAAGACGCTACCCAAACATGCTGCTCAAACTGGCCCCCAATCTCCCAAACAGGCATCTCTCTTCTTACTGTGCTCCTACCACTTCAGTAGGGGCATGGCAGAGAAAAGAGAAACAGGGCTTTTCCTGGACTGGAATTTCAGAAACAAATGTCAGGTTTGAGAGCACCGTAGGTAAGTGCCCAGCTTTTCATAGCACATCAGAAGCTTTGTGGCCACTGAGGGCATGTCTATTTGGCGTCACATCCAGTTCTGGTTGTACTTAGCCACAGAAGCACTACCCAGGGGGGCCTGATGGACAGCTCTCCGCTGGGCTGCTTGCTGCCTTGGCTGGCTAGTGAGGCCGTGTTCAGTCCGTTTTGCCAAGTGAAGAGACTGCTCCTTCTTCAGCTGATGTTTTCCATGGCAGAAGGAGTAAACAACCCTCTCCCAGCCACCTTGAGCTCACAGCTGAGAGTGTAGGATGTTTACACACACTACAACATGGTTATGGCCCAGAAGGTCCGTGGTTGGCTGGAACCTGACCACTGACAGCATTGGCATCTGATTTGGAGTGATCTGTGACACATGGTGCCACTGCCTAGACAACAAAAACATATAACCACATGGCTGGCTGAGTGAAAATATTTGCTAAATTGACCCATTTTCTTGTTCTAAGTTAAGTTTGTTATATTTCAGAAAAGAAGGAACTTCATTGAGGTACAGACACTGTGTGGACTACGCAATGCTTCCAAAAGTGACATTTATAAAGTTGGTACTGACTCTGGTAGGTAACCCAAATGTATTTTCAAGATACTGTCCTCATTACAATTTTATCTACATGTCAAATTAACCCCTGGCTCTGCTCAAATATAAGTTCTATGAGGGAAAATAAACTCTCTCTCTCCTTCCCCTGCTATTCCCATAAAGGTACTCAGTACCTCTGCTGCATGATGAACAGATTTATATAGATGAGCAGAAAGCTGGAGGTAGGAAAGCACTTTTTTGAATACAAGTTGGTGGTAGGACAAATTTCCTTAACTCCAACAGCTGTTATCAATAGAAGAGTCCCTGAGATGGGGTGTGGCTTACGTGGTAGAGAGCTTACCTAGTAAGTATAAGGCTCTGGATTCGATCCCAGTGTAGCAAAAAAGAGAAACGTTCCTAAACTCTGTTTTGTTTCCTACAGGATTCTGTGACCGGTGTGATAAGAAAGCTAGTGTCTCTTACAGTATGGAGCTTGCCTGGCGACAGGAGGCTCAGGATACTAGAAGTAGGACTGCTATATAAAGCCTCAGAGTAACTTGGCTTGCTAATGGCCAGCCACTCAGATGAGGAAGAACTAAACAACATTCTGGGTATCTAAGTAAGTTCTTAACCATAAGCTGATCTTCCAGGTTAACATAATCCCCCAAATGATCATGCTGAGGCAGGATAAAGAGGAGATCCCTTTTTGTTTTCATCTAGTTTCAATTTCTAGAGCAACCTTATATTACAAAGCCAAGTCCATTTCAACTCTTTTTTTTGTGTGTACCAGTTCTGGGGCTTGAACTCAGGGCCTGGATACTATACCTGAGCTTTGCTCAAGGCTAGCACTCTACCACTTAAGCCATAGCTCCACTTCTGACTTTTATAGTATTTAATTGGAGATAACAGTCTTATCAACTTTCCTGCTTGGGTTGGCTTCAAATTGTGATTCTCGTATCTCAGCTTGGGTTGGCTTCAAATTGTGATTCTCATGTCTCAGCTCCTAAGTAGCTAAGAATACAGGCATGAGCCACCAGCGCCCAGCTCAACCCTAACTTCTTACATTAGCAAATGCTAGCCCAGCAACTAGGTCTTGGCTGGATACCCTTAACTTTAAGCAATGAAACAAAGGCTCTTTTCAAAACTGGTGAAATAGGCTCAATGTGTTATTTTCCTTTTAAATCCAGAAATCACTAAAGTCCAAACCTAATTTGGGAAAGAGGAACAACCAGAACCAGTTTATAGGAAGTCAGGCAAGAGAGACTCCTGGCCCTTCTTGGCTTTGACCTCTGGTTGGTTTCCACATGTTCATGAACATAGCAGATCTAACACTGACTATGACCTCTTTACCAGACAAAAATGCAAATCCTTTAAATATCCCTTTTCCAGAACACACCCTTGCCAAAAGTTATGCCAGTAAGTAGGTACCTTCTTTTGTGCTTCCTACTAAATCCTCTTGGATGGTTTATGAACTAGGCAGTGTCTGGGAAACTGAGTGACCCAGAGAGGTACTACATCTGTGTTGTCAAGACAAAGCATAGCTGTTCTCAAATCATTGGGACAGCCTCTGCATTATGAAGACTCATTATTTGGCTAATGGAGGTCAAGCTAGCAATGATTATGCTGGATTTAAAGAAATGGGTGAAAAGATAATGATATTTCAATGGGCAGGAACTTTCAACTCATAGCTTAGTGGGGGCAGAAATCAGGCCTCAACTACCTTCTATTTTCAAAGTCTTTACTTGCTTCCCTGAAGAAAAGTGAGATTTCTAAGCATCTTTGAGAAGTCAGAGGTCTTAGAACCACAACTCAACATTCTAGCTAGTTCCTCTGCCAGCAGTAGGACATCACCCTGTGCACTAAAATAACCCTTGAATGACTAGATCAATCCAGAAAGAAACACTTGCTCAATCTTAGCAGTGGCCTCTTCTACAAGAGGGTTTGCCTTTAGAATCATTTCAGAGACTGAGACTGACAATGCCATAGAAAAGCAGTAGCACAAGAGTCATCACTACAGCATTGTGCAGCCAGCCCCAGAACAGAAAAAATGCATTTGCTTTCATGGCAAGAGTGCTCTGTTGCCTCCTTCAGTGGGTGAGTTTGGGAGAGTAGGCGCTTTTAAAGGACTTTAGAAAGTGCCAGCCAATTTGGAGCTTGGGAAAACATGTCTACAGAGGATTAAAAGTGCTATCTTAGAATTTCAGGCCGGCTTTCAGCAATCTCAACCTTTCAATGGCTAGGCAGCAATTGTCCTGAATAGGATGGCAATCAATAGCTCAAACACCTACAAAGAACTAAATCCAGGCAGCAATGAGCTGTTTCAGCTAGATACTCTTTAAAAAGGGACAGATCAGAGTATTTCAAGCCTGACACCCTGAGAGCCAGAAGCACTGAGAACTCTGGAGGAAGAGCTAGGACAAGGTACTTCCCTCCAGCTAGTCTATTCTGCAAGCACCCACAGAACAAGGAGTTAGCATTATGAGAATGAGCAAGGCTTGATTTCATCATAGAGCTCATCACCTTGTTTCTAGATGGTGCTTCTGATGGACAGACAGAAGGAAAAGGTCTAGCAAGGAAAGTAGGCATATGGCTATTAACTGCTATTAAGGCAGAAGTGGTCTGTGTTCTTGTACTTCTCAGAGAGGAGGAAGCAAGAGGAGCAATTGAGCCTGTAGGCACAAATCTACAATGTCTAAAAGCCGTGGTGCAGCTGTGGACGACTGCGGCAGCCTGCCGCTGTAAACATCCGACTGAAAGCTCCTCTGAACACCTTACAGCTTCCAGTCAAGGATGTTTACAGTAGCAAAGACTGCCCAGAAAAAGAGCTGCAATAAGGTACACCCTGCTCCAGTAGGGAGATGACACAGGGCTTGCTAATTCCTCATGTGGGATCAGAATTAATGTCCATTAGGATGCCCACTTGCCCTACACTCTTTCTGAGTGACTGGGCTAATATAGGCCAGCATAGGGACGAATTGTCACTAAATGTCGGTTTCTAAGGATAATTACCCTACAAAATAATTTGTTAGAAACACTTGAAATCTTATTAAAATAAGCAAGCAGAACAAATTATAGCTTTGCTCCTATGAGAGACTGCCTCAATTTCCCAAGTGTTTCTACTACCTAGTGAGTTATGCAAACCATATGCCTAAAATAAGACTCACAGGACAAGGTTCTATTACAATGCAATTAAGAGCTATATGCATCCAAGTACTGAAAAACTATTGGTGTGACCTTTGGCAGGAGGAGGCAAACACATTTTAAGTGGTGGTTCTTAAATTTGGTTGCACACTAAAACAAGAAGGCATCACAGATTCTGATTCAGCTGATGGGGAATAGAGCCTCAGTACTAGTTTCTTAAACCCCAATAAGTGTTGGGTCCTACAAGAGCTACATTGCAGAGTAAGAGAAAATAAAGTCCATGAAATATCACTGTGTACTCTGAGAAGCTGTGCTGAAAATTGGATGTCTATGACTCACTGAGCATGTTCTCCCACCCCAGATTAAGAACTCTGGTAAGATTTCTTAAGATACTCAAATGAGCTTCACTCTACTCTTTGTAATGACAGGCTTTAATTATTTTGTCTATTTTCCTAAAATACCACTTCAGAGGCACTGAGTTAAAAGTATCCATAAATGAGTAAGAGGAGATGTTAAGGATGGATCTGGACTAGAGAAGAGAAGAGGAGAAAAGATATAGCAAATGTCTTGTGCAGAAAGTGGGAAGGAGCATATCTGACTGACAGCAGCGTGTCAAGGCTCTGCAGTCAACAGCATAGCCATGCCTTCCCAGCTCACCTGACGCTTTGGAGGTTTCAGTTCATCTCTTGGGACAATATCGATGAGAAAGTCAAACTGATCAAACTTTGTAATTGCCATGGCGATATCATTCCTCTGTAACAAAGAAAGTAGAATGAAAAAGTAGCCCAAGGAGAGACTAGTTCACCTGGTTTATACTCTCTCCAAGTTAAAAGAAGGAGATAACTCTAAACTAAATACTCCTGCCATGTCTGTAGCTGAAATAAATAGAGCCAAACTCAAACACCATATTATCAGACTTGCTGGACACAGATCTACAAAAAAAGAAGGGGATACAAGTAGTTCATGATCTAAAATTGGACACTTGAGCCTCTGTCTACTACTATTCCTGCCTGATCTGATCCTAAGATCCTCCACACAGCTATCAAAGTATTATTTTCCAGCTAAATTAGGACAAAGTCAGCAATTCACCTGGTAGGTCTCCCTGGTCATTCTATTGTTGGCAAGGTCAGCCTATCATTCAATTGCAAAACCTTTTTAGAGCTCTAAGTAATATTTGTCTCTAGTTCACAGTAGTTACAACTGAATAGAAGATCTAAACATGTTTACTCCCATAAGGCTATAATTTCTTTGTGTGTGCTATGGAGCTTGTCTGTCCCTAAACTTTTTTGCCAAGGCTAGCACTCTACCACTTGAGCCACAACTCCACTTCCAGCTTTTTGGTGGGTCACTAGAGATATGAGTTCCAGGGACTTTCCTGCCTTTGCTGGCTGTAAACTAAGATCTTCAGATCTCAGCCTCATGAGAAGATAGGATTACAGGCATGAGCCATGGGCACCAGGACTGATTTTCATTTTAAAACCGAAACCTAGCCAGGTGCTAGTTAACAGTAGAACCCGGGGATAGAAAATATGCAGATACTGACTGTAAATTCTGCTTATATTTGAAATTTTTCATAAAAAACAGGGTACTGAGGGGAAAGTCAATACACTGAACAAAAGTCCTTAGCATCCTTTATACATCACACTTCAAGCAAAAGCAACCAATCAGACAAAATAGGAGATGGAAATTTTCTGTTTTGGGGCTGGGAAGGTGGCTCAGTGGTAGAAAGCTTGCCTTGCATGGCTGAGGCCCTGGGTTCGATTCCCCAGCACCACATAAGCAAAAAGAAAAAAGCCGGAAATGGCGCTATGGCTCAAGTGGTAGAGCGTTAGCCTTGAGCTGAAGAGTTGAGGGACAGCGCCCAGACCCAGAGTTCAGGCCCCACAACCGGACCCCCCCCCCCCCAAAAAAAAAATAATTTTTCTGTTTTTTCCTTCCCTGGTATCTGTGATGGTTTGAAACCACTGAAATGCAAAAACTCCAGTATACCCTTCTTGCCAATCACCAACTTGATAATAAAACTCTCTCTACCAAAGCAGGACACATCGTGAAGATGCCAGGACTAATTTAAGAAATACAATAGAGCTGGGCACCTGTGGCTCACGCCTGTAATCCTAGCTACTCAGGAGGCTGAGATCTGAGGATTACAGTTCACAGCCAGCCTAGGCAGGAAAGTCCATGAGACTCTTATCTCCAATTAACCACCAGAAAACCAGAGGTGGTACTGTGGCTCAAGTGGCAGAGTTGCTTGCCTTGAGCTGAAGAGCTCAATGCCCAGGCCCAGAGTTCAAGCCCCATGACCAGGCACCGTCCTGAGATATGGAGGTTCTCAGTTCAAAGCCACCAGAGGAAGAAAGGTTTGTGAGACTTCACTTCCAAAATAACTTGCAAGGCTGGCTGGCTCAAATGGGAATGCTAGTCACAAGTAAGTCAAGTGAGTTCAAGGCCCTGAGATCAAACTCTGGTACTAACAAAGGATAAGGGGAGGTACAATAGAAGCTGGATGCAATGGCTCAAGCCTGTAATTCTAGTTATTTGAGAGGTGAAGATGAGGAGGGAGGGGCCACAGTTTGAGGCCAGCCAGGAAATAAAAGTTGGAAACTCCATTAATTTATCGCTGGCATGCCTAACTTCCTAGAGACAAAAGGAAGCACAAACATAAGAAGACCAGTCTAGGCCAGCCTAGGCATAAAGCAAGACCCTAAGTCAAAAATAACCAATGCAATAAAGGGTATGACTCAAGTGGTAAAGTACTAATTCACCAAGTGTGAGGCTGAGTTCCAAACTCAGTACCACAAAAAAGTCATAGAACATAGTGATACATATTCTCTTCTCCCTATCCTCTTTCTTCCTCCTCCTCCCCCCTTCCCTTCTCCTCTCATTCTCCCCCTCCCTATTCCCCCCATTATCCCCTCCAACTCCAGAACTGGGACTTTTTGCTCACAGCTGGTGCTCTACCACTTAAGCTACAACTCCAGCCCTACCTTTTCTGCTTAATTGGAGGAGGAGTCTCATGGACCTTTCTGTCCAGGCTAGGCTTCAAATCTTGATCCTCTCTGATCTAGCCTCCTGAGTAGCTAGGATTACAGATGAGAGCCACCAATACTCAACTCATCATATTTAAATATATCATCTACAGATGGAATGAACATACACCAAAATGTTCTAAAGCATTCTGGAAATACTGATATCCTTATAATAATCTAAGTTTTTTGTCTTTCTGGGGGGCATTTAAATTCAGCCTCATGCTTGCTAGGCAGGGCCACTATTATCTGATCCATGCCAAAGCTCTCTTTGTTTTTGTATTTTTCATATAAGATCTTGTGCTTTTTGCCCTGGTCAGACTCAGGCTGTCTCTTACCTATTCCTCCTATGTAACTGAGATTACAGATGTATACCACTACCACCATGCCCACCTTGTTCTTTGAGACAGAATCTTTTACCCAGACTGGCCTCAAACTGTAATTCTCCTAGCTCCACTTTCCAAATGGCTAGGATTATAGAGGTAAGCCACTGTTTCTGACCTTCCCCTCCCCCCCCCCCCGCCCCCCCCCCCCCCCCCCCCCGCCTGGTCAATCGCTGGACTTGAACTCTGGGCCTGGGCGCTCTCCCTCTGCACTTCAGCTCAAGGCTAGTGCTCTACCACTTGAGCTACAGCACCACTTCCGGTTTTCTGGTGGTTAATTGGAGATAGAGGCTCACGTTCTTTCCTTCCCGGGCTGGGTTTGACCCACCATCCTCAGAACTCAGCCTCCTGAGTAGCTAGGATTACAGGCGTGAGTCACAGGCGCCCGGCTCCTGACCTTTTTTAAACACTAATATTTTACTGAATTGTTGCTCATTTTTACTAAAACAGTTGGATTTGATCAGTGTATACACCGAAGTAGGTTAACAATTTGTGTAAGAATAAAGAAAGTTGCTTTCCAGGCTGGCTGCAGAGGCTAATATCTGTTATTCCAGCTACTGAGATAGGAAGATCATGGTTTAAGGCCAGCCCAAGAGTGGCCTGGGAAAAAAGGGCCAGGCATCATCTGAAAAATCACCTGGGGCTGGGAAGGTGGCTTGTACATTATTCACTCATGTTCAGTATTTTTTCCCTTTGCTTCTACTTTTATGCTTCACTGTCTAGCTACAGTACAATGCAGGTTCTATGAGAGTAGGGATTTTGTCTGTGAATTGTTAGTCCCTATTGTCAAGAAGAGTACCTACTATACTGTAAATACTAATAAACACTTATAGAATAAATAAACACATGCATTTTCAATTCTGTAGGAAGAAGGGGAAAAAAGGATAAGACGGAATTTACTTTTTTGTCACTGTTTTATATCCATCACATCCTTTTCTGGAAATGCTTTCCTCTAGGAAAGGGCCTAGCTGATGAGGGAAGGTTTCTATAGTCAAGGGTTTACATACAATATAAATGTTGATTTGCTAGATTAAAGAAAATAAAAAGATTGGTATTTCTAAAAAAGTAGATAAGGAACAAGAAAGATAATGAAGTCTGGATTATCCTTTTCCTGGTGTGTTCCAAGACTCCCAACCAAATGATGTTATATCTGGAAGCAGATAAAATACTTGAGCCTTTGTTTGGATGAGGGTTTATCACTTGAAGAGTTCCATTACTGAGCTGTGAAAACCATTCAAGGAACTAGAAATTAAGAGTTTTCAAAGAGGAAAGGGTGGGTAGAGGAGGGATGGATGAGACTGCTGAAAGGGGTAACACTGATCAAGATATACTGTATTCACAAACTGCTTTGTTAGAATGACAACTGCTTGTACAACTACTTAAAGACTAAAAAAAAGTTTTGAAAAGAAACATTATCACAGGGGCTACAAGGTATGTTGGTATCCTAACACAAAGGAAGAGTCCAAGTAGTTACAAGTCAGCCTAACAGGACAAGGAACCACTGGTGGTCCAAAGCCATGCAAGAATAGTAGGCAATGTCAGCTGCTTGTCCTAATATTCCCCCAATGTAAGTCTGTAATATTACCTGAAGAGTTCGGCGTTTGTTATCCTCTGTGTGGATCCAGGCTCGAAGAGTCAGCTCTGTTATAAAAATCTGGGCTGCCTTGGCAAAGAGCACAGGGGCTTCAGCACTGATCATCTGCAACAGATATACAACCCTTCCTGTTAATCACTAGCGAGTTGTTCAGACCAGTAGGTCTGTCTCTTGCCTCGTGGCCTACCATTGGACAAGAGTTGAAAACTAAGAAGGAAATAGCCTCTGGAAACTCCAAGAGAAAAATAAATCCAGGCAAAACCTGTATTGTTGAGAAAGAATGCTTATTATCTAGGACTTACCCTGCACTAGGCCCTATGCAAGGTACTTTCTTTCATAATAGACTTTCAAAGAAACTAGGGTTTAGGAGAAGTGACTTACCATAGCCACAGAGGCAGTACATGGCAGTTTATGTTAATGTGAGGAAAAACGAACTTGACAGCCAAGAGTCTAGGTAAAAATCTCAGACCTGTCACCTCTGGGCCTTGTTTTTCTCACACTAAAAAGAAAGAGGGACTGGGAATATGGCTTAGTAGTAGAGTGTTCGCTTAGCATGCAAGAAGCCTGAGTTCCATTCCTCAACACTACATAAGCAGAAAAGGCCAGAAGTGGCACTGTGGCACATGTGGTTGCATGCTAGCTTTGAGCAAAATGAAGCTAAGTTCAAACCCCAGGACTGGCAACAAAACAAAAACAGAATGAACTTCCTGACTTAGGAACCTCATTCAGGGCTTGGCACATAGTGAATGCTCATACAACATAAGCTGCTTGAACTTTCAATTCAAGCTCTCAAGCTCTAAATTCTTGGTGAGGTGGTCTGTATGGGAATAAAAGGTTAAAAGCGGCTTTTGCTGGGCCTATGAATTAACTAAAAGCTGGGCACCCAGACTCCATCTCTACTTTGCATACTGCCCTTTGATGTAAGCTATCTTCTCCTATCACTTTATAATCACCTCCATAAAGGATAGGATTTGCTTATAAGCATCTTGTGACAAAAGGCACACTGCCCCACAGACATGCTATCTTTTTATTATGTGACAAAACTGTTTCAAAAGCTGCAGACCACCAATCAGATAACAGTGACTGACCTGTTCCTATACCCCTCAAACAGTAAAGTGGTAACAACTTCTCTGGAACTCCTCCAGAGAAGAAGACAGAGAAAATGATCACACCTGTGACTTTGGGCTGTTTCAACTGTTTAAAAGGGTATGAGAACAGCCTCTGTCCCCAGTTTCCTGTTTAATCTTATATCCCTGAAGATGTTCGAAGAAGTACTGAACTACTGTCTTTCTGGGCTGCCACATAATAAATCTTTCTCTATTATTCACATGTCTCTTAATTTGGCTTTTAGAAGAAAACGGCCAGATCTGACAAGTGAAACTCCTGGAGTTTGTCTCTAGGGCTGAAAAACCTGGTCACAGGGCCCATACAAAGAGCTTTCAAGTTAAGGAAGCAGGTAATGAGAAGTAAGAACCTAGTTTCACCTAATAAGGGTAAATTAGTCCACTCCTTTTGTCTACTTCCATATCTGTAAAATGGAACCAAGAATTCTTTGTTGTTTGTTTGCTTTGTGTCAGTTATGGAACTTGAACTCAGGCTTGGATGTTATCCCTGAGCTTTTTCTGCTCAAGGGTAGGGCTGTTTCCAGTCTTCTGGTAGTTAACTGGAGAGTCTCACAGCCTTTCCTGCCTGGGGTGGCTTTGAACCGTGATCCTCAGATCTCAGCCTCTTGAGTAGCTAGGATTACAGTGAGCCACTGGCACCCAGCTAAAACTTTTTATCCTATGGGGATACTGTGAAGAAGGAAGCTAATAAGGGGGGGAAATCACCATCAACTGTCAGCTTTAAACTGTCAGCTTTATTTGCAAATGCATGAGATTATTAATTTTGAGAGATGAAGAAATAGCTGTTCTTTCTCTGAAAGTTGTAATGGAAGTAAACTCCAGGAAATATAGAAATGGCCAGTCATAAGAAAACCCTCTCACAAGTACAATTCACTCACTGAAAACAAACTTGTAAGACAAAGGTCAAAACAGGTACATATGGTCATGAAAAATTTCTTACAGCTCAGACAAATAAAACAGAATTTGCATAATAATGCTAAGATAACCGCACTGAAATGCTGAAATGTCATTTATAGCACAGAGTGAAAAGAACTGGGGATACTACTTGATTTCAAAAAGAAACTCAGCATCTTCTAAGTACTTAAAAAAAAACCCAGGATGTCTCTTAATTTTCAGAGAAATAGCATATGACAATTAAAACTGTTCAGTTTCAGCTCACATATTAGTTTTAGACAGAAACTAAATAAAATCAAAAAGTTACAGGCAATAACAATGCTTTTATTTTTGTGTAATTAAACTTTGAGCTCTAAAGAAATGAATACTATCCTAGCATCATTTTAGCTTCATTATAAATGGTAAAAAGTGTCAATTCACCTTCACATCTTCATCCAGTTTCATAATCTTCTTAATTCGAGCCAGTGGGAGCTCCTGTACCCGGAAATCTTTCTGCAACAGCAACAAAAGGAATGTGAGCGACGAGGATGATCAGCCAGGTGGCACTGCACCACAGGCAGTTGTAAACACTGACTGGTAAGACGCTCCTTTCAGGAAATATGGCACAAGAGAGGGACTGATTAAATGAAGAAAAACAAGCTCCAGGGACAAATTCTTCTTCTTTTTCTTTTACAGTAAAGTTTGAGGTCTGCAATATGAAGATTAAGATGAAATCTCTGCTTCCAAAGCATTCTCTAGGCCAGGAACTAGAAAAGCAAGGGACAGTAGCAAAGTGACCTTTGGCTCTTTTCCGCTAGTTCAATATTGGCCCTTTCTGATCTTTACCCAACCTGACAAGACAAACTAGGGAGAGGCTTCTTTTTCGTTACATCAACAAAGAAAAGCCTTGTCTCCAAATTTTATTTCAGGATGTGGGTAAAAGGGTATAGAGAAAGGTTGAGGTGAATTTACTGGTTGTCTTTTGGTAACAGCCCTGCCACTTTTTTCTTAACAAATAGGACTGGGGGTAAGGAAAATAAACACCTTTCACTGGATGTGATTTAGAAAAGGGTTTTTTGACCAGCATTACTCAGTTTAAACACCCTCCTCCTTACAATTATTTACTTTATTTTATTTTAGGGTCCGGTCGTGGGGCCTGAACTCTGGGCCTGGGTGCTGTCCCTCAGCTCTTCAGCTCAAGGATAGCACTCTACCACTTGAGCCACAGTGCCACTTCTGGCTTTTTCTGCTTATGTGGTGCTGAGGAATCAAACCCAGGGCCTCATGCATGCAAGGCAAGCACTCTACCACTGAGCCACCTTCCCAGCCCCCAATTATTTATTTTATTACTACTGATATTTAAGCACATGTCCACAGATGGATGCAAGTCTAGAATTAAATTTTGAATTTCAGAGCTGTAATGGAGAAAAAGATATAAAGAAAAGACTAATATCAGCGAAACCTTCTATAACTAGGTATTAAATAACTATTTGTTCTCTAAATGGTCTGAAATGTAACGCATCAAATCCACTATGATCACCTAGCAATTTGTACTATCATGCTATGGAAGAAGGAGCTATTATTTGAAATTTAATAAAATTAACAAGCAGAAGTTAACTTTCTTTCTGAGACTACAGAAAACCTCAAGAGTATGTCAAAGAAGGCATTCTAGAAAAACATTACCAAGCTTCCTATTATCTATTTTATGATTATAGAAGGAAGAAATACAATGAGGATAAAATACATGCCAAGACACCTAATTTCTCTATGCAGGCCAACAAGCTGGTTGGCTGCCATGCAGAACTATGATTTTTTCTGTTCAAAAGTACTAAGTGTTTGTAATCCTAGCTAGTCAAGAGGCTGAGATCTGAGGACCACAGCTCAAAGACAGTCTGGGCAGGAAAGTCCGTGAGACTCATCTCCAATTAACCAACAAAAAGCAAAAGTGGAGCTGTGGCTCAAGTGGTAGAGTGCTAGCCTTGAGCACAAAAGTTCAAGGACCGTGTCCAGGCCCTGAGGACCAGCACAAAAAAATATAACTGTGTCTAAAGGTTGCTGAGAATGTTATTCAGACAGAGGAAACAACAAGCACAGAAACAGAGACCTCAAAACAGGGCTTGTTAAAGTTTAAGCCTTATGGCCTCAGTGCATAAGGGAGCAAGAGGACAGAGGATTCTATATTGGGACCCATATCTGAAAGGACTTTAAAACATGTTTTCATCATAGAATCAGTCCCTAGAGTCTTCCTTCTTGTGTGGAATATTGCACAAGATAATGATGCTACCCCAAAATGCCAGAGAAGGGGCTGGGAAGGTGGCTCAGTGGTAGAGTGCTTGCCTTGCATGCCTGAGGCCCTGGGTTCGATTCCTCAGCACCACATAAGCAAAAAGAAAAAAGCCGGAAGTGGCGCTGTGGCTCAAGGGGTAGAGCGCTAGCCTTGAGCTGAAGAGCTGAGGGACAGCGCCCAGGCCCAGAGTTCAGGCCCCACGATCGGACCCCCCCCCAAAAAAAAAAAAATGCCAGAGAAGGCAAGGGTGTTTATTCCTCCTTTGGAAGGTCTCCTAGGATAATACACTGCACATGATTAAGACCATGTAAGTTAGCTCTCTTGCCAGTATGTATCATTGTTAATTTCCAAAACTGATTAAAAAAAAAAAAGACCTCCTTCCTCAACTTGAAAGTAAAACATCACTTTTAAAATCTGTTAGACTATTCTTCAAAAGTAACCCTTATCACAGATAAAGATATCATAATCATCCCCATATTGTAGAGATATAAAATGAGGTAGACATTTATAAAATGCTTCAAGACCCCACCCAAAGCTTTTCTTTTCTGAGCAACTTTTCCAAGATCTCCAAAGCTTGAGGTCTCAAGAAATAGGGTGTGAGAAGTAAGTAGATCTTAGGTGTGCATGGTAGTGGTGGTGGTGCTGATGGCAGTATTCACCATTGCTAGCAATAGCTAGCTATCTAGAATTCTATCTTAGCTAGGCAGTCACATGTAAGGGTTCACTATAGGCTTGTGGGGAGCAGACTCTATCCACTATCAGTAGCCTAAGGACCACTTGGCTTTCAATTCAGTAATATGCTGATGTGAAAAGCATTTAACTCCTACTCTTCAAATTGATCTAACAGAAAGAACTGAAACACAGGGACTTTTTTTTCTTTCTTTTTTTTTTGTCGGTCGTGGGGCTTGAACTCTGGGCCTGGGATTTGTCCCTCAGCTCTTCAACTCAAGGTGAGCGCTCTACCACTTGAGCTACAGCGCCACTTCCGGGGACTTTTTTTTTTTCTTCTCCTCTTAGGAGTAACATCAGTAAGGTAAAAGAGCAGATTACTAGCCGGGCGCTGGTGGCTCACGCCTGTAATCCTAGCTACTCAGGAGGCTGAGATCTGAGGATCGCGGTTCAAAGCCAGCCCGGGCAGGAAAGACCGTGAGACTCCTATCTCCAATAAACCACCAGAAAACCGGAAGTGGCGCTGTAGCTCAAGTGGTAGAGTGCTCGCCTTGAGCTGAAGAGCTGAGGGACAGCGCCCAGGCCCAGAGTTCAAGCCCCACGACCGACAAAAAAAAAAAAAAGGAGCAGATTACTTCTCAGAATATTCTCATGTTCCTGACTACAATCAAAGAACTACTGGGTGCTGGTGGCTCACACCTGTAATCCTAGCTACTCAGGAGGCTGAGATCTGAGGATCGCGGTTCAAAGCCAGCCCGGGCAGGAGAGACCGTGAGACTCCTATCTCCAATAAACCACCAGAAAACCAGAAGTGGCTCTGTGGCTCAAGTGGTAGAGTACCAGCCTTGAACTAAAGAGCTCAGGGACAGCACCACGGCCCAGAGTTCAAGCCCCAAGCCTAACAAATGGGAATGTGGCTTAGTGGTAGAGTGCTTGCCTAGCATGCATGAAGCCCTAGGTTTGATTCCTCAGTACTATGTAAAAAGAAAAGGCTGGAATTGGTGCTGTGGCCAAGTGGTAGAGCACTAGCCTTTTCAGCACACAGAGGCTCATGTACAGTGCCTAGGCCCCAAGACCAGCTAGACAGACAGATAAAAATTTCTGTGCGAAACTGACAAATTTTAAGAGATCAGAATTTACTCAATAAGAGTTGAGAATCAAGGAAAAGTCAATGGGTCTTAGGCTGTACTTTACTTATTTTTGGGTGCAGTTCCCTGGGGCTTGAACTCAGGACCTAATCATTATCCCTGAACTTTTTACCTCAAGGCTAGCATTCTACCTCTTGAGCCACAGCCCCACTTTTTGGTGTTTTAATTGGAGATAATCAAACGTTTATTGTGCATCTACTATATATATGCCAACCAAACTTCTCAGCATGTAATGTCCTAACATTGTAGCAGTACTTTTCAGTGCCATACAGGAGAAAGATTCTAGTTAAATCATCAAGAGATGAAATGATACAGACAATTCCCCTTTCATGCTTCTTTCTCTACAAAACCTGAAATAATCAATCATATTTAAATTTCAAATAGACTGTATATCTAGGTACTAAACTTCCATCAGCATCTCAGTCTTCTTTGCTGGCAAGCAAACTTGAAAACTAAACAAAACAGGTTAAAAAAATCAAAGCCCAGCTGGGTGCTAGTAACTCATGTCTGTAATCTTAGCTACTCAGGAGGCTGAGATCTGAGGATAGCAGTTCAAAGCCAGCCCAGTCCATGAGACTCTTATCTCCAATAAACCACCAGAAAACTAGAAGTGGTCCTATGGCTCAAGTGGTAGGGCACTAGTCTTGAGCTCAGTGACAGCACTAAGCCCAGGAGTTCAAGCCCCACGACTGACAAAAAATAAAATAAATAATATCAAAGCCCATGGTTTCAAAGAAATGTTTTCATATCCATGTTTATAGAAGCTATTCATAAAAGGAAACAGGTTGGCAAAAGTGGCGCTGTGGCTCAAGCAGTAGAGTGCTTGCCTTGAGCTGAAGAGTGCAGGGACAGCGCCCAAGCCCAGAGTTCAAGCCCCACGACTGACCAAAAAAAAAAGGAAATAGGTTGAAGCAACACAAGCTGTCATCTACTGACAGATGAATGAGCAAACAAAATAGTGAATACATATGAGATATCATTCAGCCTTAAAAGGAAAACACTGATGTATCTACAACACAGATGAACCTTGGAGACAATAAGTAAACTAAGCCAGTCACAAAAAGACTATGATTTCACTTATATGAAGTATCCAAAGCTGTCAAATTCATAGATACAGAAAGCTTTCTGTCTTACCAATGGTTGGAGAAAGGGAAGTTGTTTTAATGGGTATAATTTCAGTTCTGCAAACTAAAAAAGTTAGAAGATAGGTTTCACAACAATGTGCATATATTTAATAAAACTAAACTAAAAATTTGGTTGTTTACACACACACACACACACACACACACACAATACCGAACAGGTAAGTGGTGACCTTAAATCTTTTTTTTTTTTTTAGGGGGTGGGGGAGTGGTCCGATCGTGGGGCCTGAACTCTGAACTCTGGGCCTGGGCGCTGTCCCTCAGCTCTTCAGCTCAAGGCTAGTGCTCTACCACTTGAGCCACAGCGCCACTTCCAGCTTTTTTCTTTTTGCTTATGTGGTGCTGAGGAATCGAACCCAGGGCCTCATGCATGCAAGGCAAGCGCTCTACCACTGAGCCACCTTCCCAGCCCTGTGACCTTAAATCTTCAGTCTCTGGACACCTGACTAATCCTGGATTTACTTTTCAGAGCTCAAACTGGAGCACAGACTTACTGTACTAGCCAATCTTATTGTATCTCAGAGGGGTACCAGCACCTAAAACCAGTTTTACACCAGGCTGACCCAAGCATCTAAACTTAGTAAGCTTTTCTTTAGATTATCTCCCAATAAAAGAGCAAAAGGCCCCATTTCTTTTACTTTATAATTTCATTGTTCGTTCCCTTTTCTATCTGAGCTAGTACAAAATATACTATAGATAGCTACCACTTTGAGACTGCTGAAAGAGACATAGTAACTCTCACAAAAGCTACTGTTCAACTGCTAAAAAAACATTTCATGGAAACAAATACCACCAAGGGTACATCCAGAATATGAATTACTCCAAAAGTCAGTGAGCATTTATCACAGTGAGAAACTGCTTTGTTTCATTTGTTATTCATTGTCTATCTCATGAGAATATTTTTTCAGGCATACAATAATCTGTCTTGTGTACTTACTACTGAATCCACAGAATTCAGAACAGTTAAAGTAGATGAAAATTAAATATGTGTTGAATAAAATGAATACACCGCTCTTCTTTATCAAAAGATAAAGGTTATTTAACCTAAGAAATCCAGTATCTACTCTACTAGTATACTGATACCTCCAAGGCAGGAATGACATATTCATTATACAGAGCTCCTTGCTCCATATGGAAACATTCATCATCAAGGACACATTGTATTCTGAAAATATTCTAGTTCTAACCTGCCTCTCTTCCTTTTACCACTTTCATACTCAACTGTACTCCCAACCCAACCCTGAATGTGCTGTTCCCCTAAACATAAGACCCTTTCCTCTGGGTTTCCAAGTCATCATACATGCTTTTCTTGCTGTGTAAGATATACTCTCCCAGCCCATCCATGCGGTGAGTGCTCACTCATATTTCAAGACCCAACAAACATGCTGCATTTAGGTAAAGCCTTCCCTAACTCAACCAGAAAGAAACAAGCACTATGTCCTCTTGTGATCCTAAAACACTTTGCCTTTCACTGCCTTAAGATTCAACACTGTGTCCAAGTCAGTAGATACTTAGTAAATACTTACAAAACGACTGGTTGTAATTAATAAAAACAAGATAATAAGCTTCCCAAAGGCCAGAGTTATCTTTGATTTTTCTAAGTCAGTGGTTCTCAACAGAGGATGATTTTAGTCCAAAGAGGCATTTGCCAATATCTGGAGACACTATGACCTGTCACACTGGAGAAGGATGTTACTGGTATCTAGTGAGTAGAGACTAAGGATGTTGCTAAACATCCTACAAGGCATAGGATAGCTCCTTACAACAGTGAATTATCTGACCAAAATGTCAATTATGTTGCTGGTGAGAAACTCTTTTCCTTATCTTTCTTCTATTCTCTCCTTACTCCTCTAGACAGGGTCTTGCTATACAGCTCAGGATGGCCTCAAACTTTCAATCTTCCTGCCTCCACTTTCCAAGCAGTTGTCACAACAGGTTTTGGTTTTCTTTTGTTGTTGTTTGTTTGTTTTTTTAATTGGTCATGGGGCTTGAACTCTGGGCCTGGGTACCGTCCTTGAGCTCTTCAGCTCAAGGTAAACACTCTACCACTTCAGCCACAGTACCACTTCCAGTTTTCTGGTGGCTAATTGGAGATAAGCCTCACAGACTTTCCTGCCCGGACTGGCTTTGAACAGTGATCCTCAGATCTCAGCCTCCTGAGTAGCTGGGATTACAGGTATAAGCCACCAGTGGCCAAGTTGTCTTTTTAACACCTGCAAGCCAGGCATCAATGGCTCATGCCTGTGATCCTAGCTACTTAGGAAGCTAAGATCTGAGGATCACAGTTCAAAGCTAGCCCATGAGACTCTTAGCTCCAATTAACTATCAAAAAGCTAGAAATGATGCTGTGGCTCAAAGTGGTAGAGCACTACCCTTGAGCACAAAAGCCTAGAGGCAATGCCCAGGCCCTGAATTCAAGTCCCAGGAATGGCACACATATACACACAAAAAACACCGGCAAAGAGTGCCTGGGTCATAATAAATATCCCAAAAGTCTTCACCAAGCTGCAGAAATCTGGTAGGGCCACTAAATTAGGCCTAACAGGTCAAAAGGGTAAAATCTTCATTTTTTTCCCCCAATTTTGAATAGATATGCCTTGAATTAAACTATTTTCAAATTAAAGTATCCACTATATACTCACATGTCTATAGAAAGCCACTAAACTATAAAGGATACTTATACTACCTTATCTCAGATCAATTGTATATTTTCATTTTCTTATATACTATGCCTTTGTAAATGTGCTTGAAATTAAAAATGTTTTAGCCTTGAGCTAGGCAAGATGGATCAAACCTATAACCCTAGTTTCTTGGGATGTAGCAATCAGGAGGGTTTCAACTAAAGGCCAGCCCAGGGAAAAAAGCTCAAGAGAGTCCCTTTGACCAACAGCTGTGCATGGTAGTCTGTGCTGTCATCCCAGCAACAGGGAAACATAAAAAGAAGGATCAAAGTCCAGGCTGAACCAAGCATAAAGACCCTATCCTGAAAATAATATTAAAAGAGTTAATAGGGCTGGAAATGTGGCTTAGTAGTAGAGTGCTTACCTAGCATGCATGAAGCCTTGGGTTCTATTCCTCAGTACCACATAAACAGAAAAAAAGCCAGAAGCAGTGCTGTGACTCAACTGGTAGATTGTTAGCCTTGAGCAAAATAAACTCAGGTACAGTGCCTAGTCCTTGAGTTTAAGCCCCAGGGCAGGCAATGAATGAATGAGTTAATATAGTGGCTCACAAGCACAAGATCCTGCGTTCAATCCTCAGTACCATCTAAAATAGGGTTTAAGTCTTTTGTTATTGTTTTTCATACTTCCTTACCACTGTTAAGTTCCGGATTTCTTCCATGACCCGAGGCCAGAAGGACTGAAGGCTTTGCTGGGCATCACTGCTACTAGTGCCACCAAACCCTCCTTCTGTGGACATTTCGACAACTAAAAACACACAAAGACATGAAATATGTTAGAATAAAGTCATAGCCAGGCATGATACCCCAGCTATTCAGGCAGTAGGGATTCAGAGTTTGAGACCAACCCTGAGACACCATCTTAACCAATAAAGCTGCAAGTGATGGCATGTACCTGTCATCCCACCTACAAATGAGGCATAAATAAGAGGTTTAGAGTGGGGAAAAATGCAAGACTCTACTCCAAAAAATAACTGAAGCATAAAGAGCTAGGGCTGTAGCTCCAGCGTCAGAGACCCTGCCTAGCAAGGGAGAAGAAGGGAGGGAAGAAGAAAAGGAAGGAATAAAGTCACATCTTTTGTCTAATCTGTTCAGTTTTTTTAGCCTGATAAGGTATATAATTGTGTCCAAGAGCTTTTTGGTACATATTTAAATCTCCACAAATCATTTAGAGGAAAATTTTCCCTTCAACCCAGCTTCAACCAGACTATCAGGGAGCTCCAACTACAAAATCAAAAGTGTTTTTTCAAGTCCTAATATAATTTCACTTCCTGTGAAGGTAGAAAAAGTCCACCTGTCCTTCCATCCTTTTTTTCCTCCCTCCCTCTTTTCTTTCTTCCTTCATGCCAGTACCATGGTTTTAACTCAGGAGCTCATGCTCTCATTCTTCCTTGCTTGCTCATAGTTGGCACTCTACCATTTGAACCATGCCTCCAAGACTGGCATTGTGCTGGTGAAATGGAAATGGAATCTTGTGGCCTTTTCTATCCAGGATAGCTATGAACCTTGATCCTCCAGGTCTCAGGCCTTCTGAATAACTAGTACTAGCCACAAGTAACCAGCTAGTCCATAATTTTCAATGTCATTTTCTCCAAAGCCTTTTCAAGTTATATATGAGTTCTCATTCTCCATTCTATAGTTTGCAACAGACAGACTAAGGATCCCTACTGATTGAAGTATCTAAACTGAAACTGCACACTTTCCAAATTCTTTCCTAGTCTGAACCCACACACAACACACCAACAATTAGAAGTTTAAAAGACAGACTAGGCACTAGCTGTAATCCTAGCTATTCCAGAGGCTGAGATCTGACAGTCAAGGTTTAGAAGACAAATCTGAAAAACTCTTATCTCCAATTAACCAGCAAAAAGCTGTAAGTGAAAGAATGGCTCAAGTGGTAGTGTCACCCTTGAGCTAAAAAACTAATAAGCAAGAGCAAAGGGTCCGGAGTCCAAGGCCCAATACTAACAAAAAAGGAAAAAATAAAAACAAAAAGAGGCTTAAAGGTAGCTAAAAACAATGGGGAAGTAGTAAACTTAAGATCATGACAAGAGGGTCAGAACTTGCAATTGGCCAACAGCTTTGTGATGAAGGAGGTAAGATCAAAAATGATCCCCACATTAGCTACAACTGTGGAGATAATATTGTAATGTCTTTAAAAGACTTTAATTAGAGGGAAGGTTAAAAAGTAAAAAACAACAAACTCCAAAAGGCTTTGTTTACCTGGCCAAAAATAAAAATATGTGAGAACCAGTTTAGCTAAACACAATGCATAAGAAACTTAAGTGATCTAAGAATTCCTATTCTAGGAAATTATTTAAAAGGCTTAATATACCAGTGACAGGCTGCTAGCAGAGAGTTGTGTAAGTCATTTAGAACTAATTCTGAAGTGCTGCAAGTACCAAAACTAAATGTCAAATGATCAAATGTATAACCTTCCAGGCTCTATGTACATATGCATGCCTGGCAGATCACTCTTCATCTGTAGTGGAATGAGGGCTAAGAAACATGTTTAGACTGAGAATGTTTGATTCACTCTTGACTGTTCTGTCTGGGATTGTCTTAGTCTCTAATTTTTTTCTTTTTTTCTTCAAAAGAAATGGAAGGAAAAGGGAAGTACAATCTTTAAAGCAGATTTTCACTCTGATGTAAATTACATTGGTTAGTAATGATGTAATGGGAAAAGGTTTGGAGCCAACTTCTAGTGTCTGAGGCCTATAAACAGTTCCACACATCAACAGAACTCTTTTAAGTATCTGGGAAGTAATTTGATCTTGGAATTTCTAGTGGGAGTTAAAGGGAAGTGTTGAATCACTACATAAAACCTTAAGTCCCAAATAACCTGGTGAAATCCCCTCAAATCAGCTCTAATGATATTTTTACCTATCACTACTTGCACATGGCCTATATACACTATAATAGTTGTAGTCAAAATATAAAAATCAAGGCAATCTAAAGAATTTTATTACTAGTTTCCTAAAAGATAAAGAAAAATGAGACTCTTTTTTTTTTTTTTTGGTGGGAGTGGAGTTGGTCGTGGGTTGTGGTCTGGGTGCTGTCCCTGAGCTCTTTTGCTCAAGGTTATACCACTTTGAGTCACAGCCCCACTTCCTGTTTTCTGGTGGTTACCTGGAGCCAAGAGTCTCACGGACTTTCCTACCTGGGCTGGCTTTAAACCGAGATCTTTAGATCTCAGCCTCCTGAGTAGCTAGGATTACAGAGGTGCACCACCAGTGCCTAGTTGAGACTCCTCTTTTTTTAAATGGAGAAAAAAAATCTTCCTAGAAACAAAAACAGTTATCAAAAAGTTCAAAATAAGCCAGGTGCTGTTGTAATGCTAGCTACTCAGAGACTGAGATCTGAGGATGACTCTTCAAAGACAGCCCTGGCAGGAAAGTTCTTAAGACTCATCTCCAATTAACCTCTAGAAAACTGGAAGTGGAAAGGTGGCTCAAAGTGGTAGAGTTCCAGCTTCTTGATGGCTTATTGGAGAATAAGAGTTTCACAGATTTATCTATGGCTTCCTACTGAGTCCCGCAGGTTCTGAGTAGCTAGGATTATAGGTAGCCACTGGTGGCTAGCTTCCACAACTCTATCTTTTTTCCATCTTCAGACAGTTCTAACTATTCTTTACATTAAGTTTAGTTTACAAATGAAGTTCCAGCTGAACTTTAGATTTTTGAAAAGCCTTTTATGATTTTGCCATCCAGCAACCTCTATTTTTTTTATTTAATTGATTACAAAAGACAAAGGTACTAGGTACTATTGCTATTTGGGACACCAGATCTTCTCCCCAGGAAAAAGAAAAAAGTTTGGAACATGTTTTCTAGTATCTTTGTAGAGATGACTAGCCTCTCTCTCTCTCTCTCTCTCTCTCTCTCTCTCTCTCTCCTGAAGTCTTACTTTCCCCAATTCTAACATCAAATTCAACATCTGAGGGTATGTCTCTGTTACATGAAGCTAAGTATGAAAATGCTATTATATATGTATTTAAATTTAATTAATTAATTAATTTATTTATTTATTTTTGTCAGTTGTGGGGTTGAACTCTGAACTTAGGCACTGTCCCTCAGATCTTCAGCTCAAAGTTAGCGCTCTTCCACTTGAACCACAGTGCCACTTCTGGTTTTCTGAGTGGTTTATTGGAGATAAGAATCTCACAGACTTTTCCTGCCCAGGCTGGATTTGAACCACAATCCTCAGATCTCAGCCTCCTAAGTAGCTAGGATTACAGGTATGATCCACCAGCGACTGGCCAAAAAAAAAAAATATATATATATCTTATGAAGGGCTGAGAATGTGGCTTAGTGGTAGAGTGCTTGCCTTACATTCATGAAGCCCTGGGTTGAATTCTTCAGTACCACATAAACAGAAAAGGTTGGAAATGGCACTGTGGGCTCAAGTGGCACAGTGCTAGCCTTGAGCAAAAAAGCAGCTTAGGGACAGTACCCAGGTGCTGTGTTCAAGCCTCAAGACTAGAAAAAAAAAAATCTAATGAATAGCCAGGCTTCACAAAAGATAAGGGGTTGGAACTGCCAACAAACTCTTCTTACAGATCTGCTCACAAGCCGGGTGCCAGTGGCTCATGCCTGTAATCCTAACTACTCAGGAGGCTGAGATTTGAGGATTGCAGTTCAAAGCCAGCCTGGGCAGGAAAGTCCATGAGACTCTTATCTCCAATAAACGATCAGAAAACCAGAAGTGGCACTGTGGCTCAAGTGGTAGAGGCTAGCCTTGAGCTTAATTGCTCAGGAACAGCATCCAGGCCCAGAGTTCAAGCCCCAAGACTTGAAAAAAAAAAAAAAAAGATCTGCTCACAGGGACATATTTTCAAAACATATTTTCAAACTGGCAACAAAGCCACTTTTCCTTCAAAAACATTTGTTTGCTATCACTACAAGATGCTCTCTAAAACAGATATACAATTGTATTATCACAGGAAATAATAAGGCACAATAACCAATATAAGTAATTCAAGTGATAGAAAAAGGTATAGATAGAACATTTCAAATTTTGTTTCTGTGGAGTAAAAAAAGGCATCTATTTACCACAACTTTCTCATCCCTTCATGAATAAACGATTTTGCATTTATGACAGCAGTAAAATACTATTAGCATTTTGTAGGATGATATAAAAGGTATAAATAGAGCTGGGAAGATGGCTCAGTGGTAGTGTTTGTCTTGCATGCATGAGGCCATGGGTTCAATTCCTCAGCAACACATAAGCAGAAAAAGCTGGAAGTGGGTGTGGCTCAAGTGATAGAGTGCTAGCCTTGAGTTAAAGAGATGAAGGACAGTACTCAAGGCTGAATTCATGACCAACCAAAAAAAAAGTATAGAGGCTGGGAAGGTGGCTCAGGGGTAGAGTGCTTGCCTTGTATGTATGAAGTCCTAGGTTCGATTCCTCAGCACCACATAAGCAGGGAAAAAAAGCCAGAAGTGGAGATATGGCTCAAGTGGTAGCGCACTAGCCTTGAACTGAAGAGCTGAGGGACAGTGCCCAGGCCCAGAGCTCAGGCCCCACGACTGGATCCAAAAAAGTATAGATAGTTAAGAATGTTAAAAGCTTGAGCCCCAAAACTATAGTCCACTAGAGAAATAAAGCTCTGGAATGTTTTTGTGAATGAAATTTCCCTAGAAGATAACAACTCTCATTTATTTATGTTGCTGCATTACAACATAAACCACATAACAGACGAAGCCATAAGTATGATTTTACTCCATAGTGGAAAAAAAAAAATATTATTTA